TAAAAAATAAACTTAAAAATTAATGATATCACCACCCTCACACGTATGAAAACATAGCACAAAAATAAATTTAGGTGAAGTGGTGAGATCTCACTTGGTTTTTTAACCTGTTGAATTCATTGCTTTATAACTCTCTTCCTTGGTTTCTTTTTAGTTGCTTTCTTCACGTCTGTCTCCAACTTGACTGTCTTTCTTCTTCGGCCGTAATGATACCAGTTACTTCCACCAGTCAATGGGTCAAATGGTCTTTCGTAAGGGTTTCCATACATTCCATAGGGACCATACGGAAGAACTACTGGTGGAGAAGAAACATTTTCTTTAGTTCCATCGACTCTATTTAAATGCATTGTTTCACCTTTCATCTGGTCATTAAAGTCTTTTGCGTGTTTTGCAAACTCATCGTCCTTTCCTAAAGCATTTTCTGACTCAGTCGCAACCAAATTGGATGCTTTATTTATGAGCCCTATTTTATTTAATCTTAACTTCTTTGCAACCCAGCCTCCAATCTTCCCTTTATTTGCATCTAATGTCTTTGAAACCCTTCCTCCACTCATTTTATTTACTGCGTCATAAGCTCCAAGTGCTTTTGCTCCAAATGCTAATGCTTTTGTTCCCATTGCGCCTAAAGCTGCCCAAGCTACCATTTACACCATATTAAAATCATCTCTCTTCAATATTATCTCATAAAAGTTCTCATTACTGGAGAAAGTCAATGAAACATAAGCGTTCTCACGGGCTTCGCCCTCACCACTTTGCGGTCTATCTAACTTCTTTCTTATCTCATCTATACGCTTCAAAATGTCTGAACAATTGCTAACATCTTCTACAACAGTTATTTCATCATGAATGACCTTCAAGAACAAGCTCATTTAATATGCAATTAAAATCATTTCAATAATGAGTCCATCCTTTCCGTCTTTGGGTAGCACAACATCTTTCATTGAAGAAGGTTCGACAAGTCTTATGTTAAACTTACTGACAAAGTTTGTTATACTATAATGCTTCGGCGGCGAATACATGTAGTTTGAAAGACATAATATGGATTCTTCAGCAAATTCACTTATACTGGATTTTATAACAATGTTCTCACGAGACCAAATACCACCAATTGACAATCTTGTAAGCAATCCTGCTGAACCTTCTACTGTAAACGTCGATGGTAACATTCCACGAAGGTCATCTATTGACATCGTTGAGTCACTGTATTTAAATATTTTCTTAAAGCAATCGTCATTATCTAACCATGCAATAGCTTTGAAGTTTTCATTCGAATATACATCTGCTTCATTAAATGTAAAACCTGACTTCTTTGCAGAGATGGCTTTAAAATCTATTGAGTTTGTTTCAAAATTATATGCTATGGTAACTTCTGAAGGTAATGGATGTCCTTCCGCAGTCAGTTGTTCTCTCACTACCGTTTGAAGCTTTGTATTAAAAACTTTCATGTCATCTCCTGTATCTAAGTTCACATACACAGCAACAGGAAAACTATCTTGCTTCTTTGTTTCATCATTATACCTCAAAAAATTAAAGTTCTTCAATAATATTGTTCTTCCTGCTGGAATACTTCGAACCTGTCTGATTTCAATAGCTTTCTCACCTCCTACATACTCTACCCAGTGTCTTGGATATTCATAAGTATACTGACTTTCTTGAATTTTGGTTGGTTTCATCATAACATGTTCATAGTATATCTTTATACTCTTGTCAGTTAGACTCGGTGCTATGTTCTGAATATTTCTGACTTGCATTTTTAATGGAGATAAAATGAAGCATTTAATACATGACGTAGATGAAGACATGAATGAAACTACAGACAAACTTAACTCTTCTCTCATTCTTCCTTTCAGTAAGGACTATGAGTTCTGTTCAAATGGTGTGTATTTCTATTGTGGAAAGATGGGTTCAGGTAAGACATTTAACCTCATTCGTCATATACTCATAACAGAACGTTTAGGAAATGACTCATATTATGACCAAATCATTATATCAGCAACTTCAGACTCTATGGATTCAACAGCGAAAACATTTATGTCAAAAGTTCAAGCCTCTGTCGTTAAAGTTCCAGACAGTGAACTCATTGAATTTCTTCAACGTTACATTCGACGTAAGAGGAAATATTATGCCATCGTTGAATTTATACAGTCAGGAATGCAAAAGACTTCTGAGGAGATGGAAAGAATTATTGACAAACACCACTTACGTCAATACTCAGGAGTTTACGATATGAAACGACTTACAAACTACATTCTGTCAAAACTTTCAAAATACCCCTTCAAAAAATATCCATCAAACACTTTATTAGTTTGTGACGACTTCGCTGGTAAAGGTTTAGTGTCAAAACCAGACTCACCATTAGCTAACATCATTACTAAAGTCAGACATTACCATTTAACTGTAGCAATACTTATGCAAACATGGAGGTTTTTAGCTTTAAACATAAAACGTCTCATAACTGACTTCGTTATCTTTCAAGGTTTCTCACGTTATGATATTGAACTCATTTGGAAACAGTCAGATATAACATTACCTTTTGAAGAAATTTGGGAAGCATATAAGTCTCTCATCTCTCCTCGTTCATACCTTGAGATTCATATCATGACTAATACCATTAAAGTCAAAAATATTCCATGGGAACGACCAACATTGTTTTAAAGTTTAACCTTCAATTGACTGATGGTAAACAAATTCATGCATCTCTGTCGCCATTTCTGTTAATATTTTTGCTGTCATTCATATCATCCACTTCCCCATCCGTTAGCTTTTGAGGATATGCGTTAGAATAGCTGTTCTTAAATGAAGGCTTTTCACCTTTGAGAGCATAAACTCTATAACTTTCTGCATACTTTATGTTTGAACCTCCTGAGCCATCATTGACATAAATTTTTATAGGCTTCCACCCTTTGTTCATGTTCCTGCTTCTTCCCTTAGCTCTTTTGTTCAGTAGTTCTACATCTTTATACACAGCACCTGTCTCAGTGAATTCAACAATATTTTCATTCGTTAGCTTTACATTCAAACCCTTGTCGAGTATATTGTTCATTTCATACATATAAAAGGTTTTTATTCTATATGAAATGAGAAGCAAATCCATCTTAGCTGGTGCCGTTAATGTTCCAATTGAACCAACATCAAATGTTGACTCACGAACGACAAACAATATTGTCATAAAGAACTATAGTTCAGAGTGTTTGAAAGAAAAAGAACCAGAACTTAAGTCGGTGAATTTAAACTCAGCTTCAAACGCTAACGCTACATCAGATGTTAAGTTAGAGTATCCACCATTAGACCAAATTCTTTCAAGAGAAGCCAACGACAATCCTTACACAAATGTTCAAACAAATCCTTCAGATAACGTAGACCATTACCTTCTTCAGTTATACCAAACAATTTTACTCAAAGACGATAAGAAGCTTTTGGTAAATCTTATAAGCAAGAACCAAATAATTCTAACAAAGGAGGACCTTGAAAATGTTATCTCACGAATAACAGGGAAACAATGTGTCATTGACTATCTCGACCCTGAAATCGAATGCTGTGGTCAAACTCCACTATTCATGAAAATAGGTAACATCCGCATCATTGAAACACCAGGAACTACAGGATTTGAGTTTAAGTATAAATATTCGAACGAGTATACAAAACTTTCAACAGAATATAAACTTTGTTTGAAATATGTTTTAGTAAATTAAAGCAGTCAGGAGGGCTCTTTGAGCCCATCTTGGCGCTTTGCGCCGTCAGTCAAAAAAATTTCAAGTTAGCAATTTGTAATATCTATCCAAAACTTCTTCAACAGTATCGAACTCATCTTCATAATGCAAACCTAATCTTATTGACTTGGTGCAGTTTTCACTAACACAATATTTTTCTGTTCTCTTGACTGACATAACTAACTCATTTGTTTCATCAAACAGCAACAACCAAAGTTCATGACCTAATACATAACATTCATACTTTATATTTTTAGCTCTGAGTTCTCTTGTAAGCTGTTGCATTTAATATTTTCTAAAAAGTCAACTTCAACAGTCATTCGCACTGGTGCCTTCAGTTCTACAGGCTCTCCTTGAAAGTCAACAAGTCTGAATTGCATGTCTTTCAAATTATGAGGACTAATGCGAACCCATTTACCTAAATGAGTTGCTATGACAGGAACGTTTGGAATGAACATTGAATTGACTGCATAACAGAAGGATTTATATTCTACTGAACCTTTACTATTAACTCCTGAAATGCCTGTGACATTAGCTATTTTAGACTCAATGTATAAACAATTACCATAACATACGTATGGAACAGATTTCATCTCAATCGTTTTGTCAACACTTTTCAAAGGAAATGTCATATGGTATGCTCCCAGAAGCAATTGAACTCTATGACTCATTCGTGTTATCTTAAACTCCTTCGCATAACTGAACTTCAAAACTCCTGCAATAAGTTTAACATTCATTAAGTTTTCTTCGTTATCCTTGTTTATTGTGTATTTATGAGAGCATTTAACACTCCAGCTAATGTTTCCATCTTATATTCTACATTATTGTGAAATCTTATTTCGTGCTTCTTTCCATCTATTTCAATCTCCATGAAATCTGTTTCATCTGTTATAACGAATGAAGCGATAGTATTGAAGTCAACCATTCTGAATGCAAGCGCCTCATTCTGTAGACCTAAGTTTGTTTGTAGCTTTACTGTCCCGTATTCGTTTGGGTCTGTACTTTGCAAATAGAACAACATTTTATTCTCATTAAAATATGAGTATAGCTGCATATGTGTATGAAGCTGACAGAGCTAAACGTTTATATTTTGGTCAATATTCTCTCACACTTACTGACAAATATATTGTTATCACTGATGGAAATACTGAGAAATACATAACATGGAAGGACTATGAAAAGTTTGACCCTATTTTAACTTCATGTACTATGCCGTTTATAAAGGACGGTGAAATTATTGAAAAAGATAATACAACCGTATATAGGTCTGTTTATGAAGCATTAGAATATATGTTGAATCATAACCCAAAAAGATTTGACCCAAGCACTACACCATGTGCAATGCCCTTTATTAAGGACGGTGAAATCGTAAGAGTTCCGAATTCAACGGTTTATACAGCTGTTCAAAACAGTTTACAAAACATTTTAGCGAATATCTTTAATTCAGAAACTACAGAAATAAAATTACCGTATATAACAGATGCTAAAGAAATTAAATCAAAAACGACAACATTATTTACGTCACTTAATGATTTAATGACTTATATCATTAATATTCCTGCACCAACTACAGCATTTGATCCAAACTCGACGGTTTGCAGTGTACCTTTCATAAATGACAGTTCATTAATTACTTTAAGGGATTCGACAGTAAATGAATCATTAAAGGCGTCATTAATGAAAATCATTGATTTTAATTCATTCACGAATACATATAATTCATTCATTAATGTTTCATATGCTTCTAAAGAAGGTGAGCCAAAAACTATTGATAAAGCGGTGTATGAAATAAAAGCATCAACGACGAAATTGAATTCGTTAACTTTTGATGGTGATAGTTTCGTTAATGACATAACGTCGGGGAAAACAATTTTAACGAAAGAATACTTAAAATCTCATGTTAGTGAGTTCGTTGAAATTGAAAAAGAAGGTGGAATTAAGTTCGATCCACTGAATTTCATTTTCAGCTTAGCGAATGCGGGTGTTAGTTTCGCTGAATGGACAACTATACAGAGTGAAATAAATGCAATATGGACGTTTTTGGGGTCAAAAGCGGGAATGGGTGAGCTTGTAAATGCTGCAAGAACATTAGGTGAAACAGGAAATTTTGTAGATGGTTTTAAAAGACTTGTTTCAAATGTTTTAACAAACACAAAGAAATTATTTAGATATACCGTACATAACGGACGGATTTTCGAACAGATAGCAACAAACCCTCCGGTTATGGCTGCGTTGATGATGGTTAGAGATATAAAACCACGTAACGACGGGAACGAAGAACATGAACAACAGGATACTGGTCGGGTTATTCGAGACATTAAAAACGTGTATCCTGAAGTTATTGATTTATTTAGAGGAGTTAATGATTCAATTTCAAAACATTCTATAACCCTCGATGAAGAGAATAAATTAACAGATTATATATTCGTCATTATTGCAGAATTAATGAAGAGAATAAATGAAAAAGGAATTGGTGATATCATTAATGTCAGCGATGTAATGATGAAAAGAAATTTTGACTCATTATTTACAAAACCGAAAACAGAATATAGTCTTTATGACGTAATTACCGAATTAATGAAAAAGATTAATGATAATAAGAGTTCTGGCGGAAGAGTTGAATTAGAAGTGAATGATGTTAATGAGAAATTAGCCGAAAAAGCAGACAAAAATGAGCTTTTAGCTCTGAGTGATAAAGTCAAGAACCACGTTCATTATATAACTTCAGACGAACAGATTATAACAGACTACCATGGATATTTAACACAGGATGAACAAATAAGCACTGAAGATGTTAATGAAAGAAGATATAAATACATTCGTGCTAAAGGTTATGACATAAGCTGTACTGTACATTATGACACGGGTAAAGCGCTAGAAGCATTTAGTTATAACGATGAAATTTATGCCTCTACTTTCTCTGTTAAAGGTGTATTAGTTGAACCAAGATTTACTTTGAGAGTTAAGTCAAAAATAACTTTTGAAGATGCTATTAAAAGTAAAGCTGACAAAGATGAACTTGACGCAACGAACAAAGTTTTGAAATCTCATAAACACAATATCTCCGATATAAATGAACTTCAAGCTACATTAGACAGTAAAGCCGACAAGAACCATACACATAAATCCTTCACTACTGTTAGAGCAGACGACATAATATTGAACTATACCCTTGGTTCAAGTGCACCTTTAGAGAATCCAAGTACAAGCGTAAAAGATACACTAAACTCCTTAAATAGTAAATGTATGAACATTGAAGGTCATGCCAGAAACTTTGAAACACATGAACTACCAGCAATGTTAGATAAGAAAGCTGACAAAGAACATACACATAAATCCTTCACTACTGTTAGAGCAGACGACATAATATTGAACTATGATTTGGGTTCAAGTGCACCTTTAGAGAATCCGAGTACAAGCGTAAAAGATACTCTTAACAATTTAGATAACAGTTGCAGGAATATCGAAGGTCATGCCAGAAACTTTGAAGCATATGAACTACCAGCAATGTTAGATAAGAAAGCAGACAAAACAGAGCTTCAAACATTAAAGACTGAAATACTTCAAACATTATATCCTATAGGCTCTATTTATACGTCAATGAAATCAACAAATCCAGAAACAGTTTTAGGTTTTGGTACGTGGGAACAGATTGTAGACAAATTCTTATACTGTGCTAGATATTCAAAGCAAACAGGAGGTTCGAAGAAAATTAAAGAAGCAAACCTTCCACCGCACACTCATACAGGAACTACAAACACAACAGGTAATCATTCACATTCAATAACAAAAAGAGGTTATACAAATCTTGCAGCAGGTTCGGATAGACAGGGAATGCATAGATATGATATTTCAAGTGACCCAGTAGATTCAAGCGCAGGTATTTTCTGTGGAACCACAGGAAATCATTCACACACTTTCACAACAAATCCAACAGGCTCGGGTGAAGATTATATGCCACCATTTGTGACTATATTCGCATGGTACCGCGTTCAATGAACGCGCTCGAGCCTAGAATAAAATCTTTAACTTTACATAAATGAGCTTGAAAAGAAGTATTCGAACAACATCCATGGAGGTCATTTAAGAAATTCAATGAAGCTGCAAAGAGTTGGGGATTTACTAACAGAGCTGAAGTGAAAAGGTTCTTTGACAAAAATGTTGTACATCAAACAAAAATAAACCCTTACGACTACTTTTTACCAATTTACTCCAACGCTCCTGACGCATACCAATTTGACACTCTCATTCAAAGCAGAAAAGGAGGACATAAACCATTCCTCATCTTCATTAATGTTAACACTCGCAAAGCGTATGCATATCCAATGAAAAATAAAGGAACTCGTGAAGTGTTAAGAGTTTTACAAAAGTTTGTAGCAGAACATAGCCCAAGTACTTTAACATCAGACCAAGACAGTGCATACCTCAGCAATGAAATCACAGAATTTCTCATTAAGCATAACATAACTCACTACACTACTGAAGACCATAACCATAACATACTCGGCATCATAAACCGCTTCATAAGAACGCTCAGAGATTTAAACCAAGAGCGAGACTTTACCGAAGAAACAATGAAACATTTTCTCGAAGTATATAATTCCTCAACACATTCTACAACAGGACATACACCAAATTCAATGATACAACAACAAGAAGAAAAGTATATACAAAAGAAACGAAGCCAAACACAAAATATCAGAAATTCAACACAATTTACCCTCATTCCTGGTACAAAAGTTCGTGTAGTTCTTGACGACAAACCGTTGACAAAGAAACGTTTAAGGTTAAGTAGAAACTATTATATCGTAGACTCTACGCAAGGTAATGGATATCTTATAAAAGCTGCTGACGACTCTATTGCGTTTTACCCTCGTCACAAATTAGTCGAAAGTAGTAATGGCAAACTTGCTGAAACCATTGACGAAGCAAAGCGAGGAGTGGTTATTGAAATACTTGGCTATAACATAAACGATGACACTTATAAAGTAAGATATGAAGGAGGCGTTGAAGATGTTATACCATCTAAGAACTTGAGAGAGTCAAAGACAACACATCTGGGACCATTAGAGCGGGAGTACTGGAAAGACAAAAATATGCCAGAAAGAATAAGAAAATTCTTCTAAACTTTTTCATTAGATGTAAATCAGACATGAATGAGAACAGTCATGATATCATTAATGTTTTCATAAATTTACACCAAAAATAATGTTTAGGTGAATAGGTGAGATCTCACCCGTTTTTTCACATCTTTTTTCACCCTCGCCGCTTAGCGGCTCAGATTGCTTTAGCTTCCTCGTGAATTTTCATGAATTTCCTTAAGATAGAAAAATAAAGTTAGTTTTATTTTTATTTATTTTTTTATTTTGTATAAAAGATATGATTTCAACAATCGGCACAACAACAATTCAAACAACTACAGCACCAAACTCGCTAGTCATGAATCCTACGTCAATGTTGGTAGAGATGAAAAGCTTTATTCCTTCTTCATATACTTTTGAAACAGAAATCCAGAAGATAAAGCAAGAACTTTTAACAAGTAATTTAGACTGTAGTGCGAAAGATGAAACAAATGAACAGTATCTTTATGAAATGGAGGACCTCATCGACCATTTGCCTAAACTACCTGAAATTCAGCAGCAAAAACTAACTATTCCTGAATTCGACGAAATTGAAGTCAAAGCAACTGACTCAGTAGAAATAAAGAAGTTCATACGAAAGGTAAATTATGAATTCCTGGGTTTTCATTGCAACCATAAAGTTATGGACAAAGATTGCGACATGGTTTATAAAATTATTTCTGACTTTACAATCCGAAGAATTTAAGACATACGATAACTTTGTTTCATTAGTTGCAAAATGTGTATGGCAGATAAGAGATAAAGATAGAAGAGGTAAGGTATGGATGAACAGATAAAACCAGCAGCTTTTGAGTTTAAAGAAAACCATTGACGCCTTAGTTGTTCTAGCTGGTTTTATTTCAATGTATAACGCAAAACGATGCCGCAATGTTCAAAATGTAAAGCAGCAATAAGAAAATATAACTACTCAGTCAAAGAGATAGAAAGAATTCGAAACGACTATGCAGACTTAAAGAAAGAAGCAGAAAGCCAGCAGAAGATAAAATGGATATGTTGACATTTCTTAATAAAAACTATCCAACAGCAGAAGATTTCCTTCTGTCTGACGTCAAGAAGAAATATAAAGAAACCTTCGGCATTGTTAAAACTTTTGATGTACTAAAAGAAGAAATAGAAGCTACGAAATTGTTTAGGATTTCAAATATACATCGTACAATTCATGTAAAACGCTTGTGAAAAAAGAGGTGAAAAAACAGGTGAGATCTCACCTCTTCACCTCAAATTATTTTTATTGAATTCAGCACAAAATAATGAATTTCATTAGTTATTTTGTATGTAAAGACAGTAATGACAAACATTGAGTTTGAAACAGTTAGAAAGATAGACAATGACACCAAAGTGGTTAGAATAGTGATTTAAACGTAAGATACTCAAAGAAATACAACAAATTTCTTTGTCAGACATTATATCTCCATCTGGAAAGAAACAAACGACTGGGTTAGAAATGCTTCAACTCAGAAAATTTTGACAAGAATCCTGAGCTTATGATATCAGTAGCATTTCATGGAACAAGAGCATATCTTATAGACAAAAGTCTTATACCAATAGTTTTGTTATGGTTAGACCAGTTGTTGGATATAACTTCATAACATATGGTTCATTCGATACGGAACGTTGCAGTGAAGGCTTACTTTACATCGTTCAGAAACCGAAGGACTTCAACACAAAGAGATATAAGATAGGAAGAACATATAATATAACTAAAAGATATGACAGTCAGTCAATAGAGTCAAGGTTGTGTTTGTTAATGATATGAGAGCTGCTGAAAGAACTGCTTGAAGTTTTTGAGAAAATGTATGGTGCTCCCACGAAGGTAAAGAAACGTTTGAAATAGATGAGATAGATAAAGCTATAAAATTATTTGACGAAGTTGCTGAAAATACATGTAAAGTGTTTTAATTTTTGGTCTTTTGTGAAAGTCAGAAAATAAAGTTAGTTTTATTTTTTTTATTTTTTATTTTGTATGTAAAGACAGTAATGACAACATCAGAGAACACAACAACAGTTTATAGTCCATGAAGCTATAAATGAAGAATACAAATACATACAATATAAAAACAACTTCGCCTCATTCGTTCGGTCAAAGACGATATGTACCAAATGCAAAGTATAATGAACGCTCTTCGTTCTACAAAGCAAGCTATCATTGGTTTGAAAACCAACAGACAAAAGAACTTTTAGAAAATTTCCTCATATGATTGCTTCCCTCGGAAAACCGAGAGAAGAGATTCCGTACGAAATCGCAAGAATTTGGCTCCTGGTTTGAAAGGTTATTATGTTCATAGACTTTTAGTAAACGCTGTAGCAATATGGGCTTCACCTCGTTATGCTTGTTATATTTTCATGATGTTAGATGAATTATATAAAGCAGAACGTGGAGAGATGGAAAGAAACTTCAAGCAAAAGATGAAGTCATTGAATCCAAAGACAAAGCATACAGAAAAGAATACCGCGTTCAGTACCAAAGGAAAGGAAAAGAGTTATAAGTATATGATATATACTGAAGAGTTGGAGAAAGAAGAAGATAAAGATATGGTTATGTTGCATTTAGTGAGAAGAAACAACAAGAGCTTTTATGACTTAGCTAAAATATATTCTGACAGAAACCGGTTCTATCGTGAAAACTTACCGATTTCAATGACACCGAATGAGCAATAAAGGAAATTGTCAAAATACTCTTCCTCAAACACACTATGACATCAAAGGTTGCACAATACTTACATTCAAAGAAACTTAACATTACTGAAGGAAAAAATAACAGAATATTTCGATAACTTCAAAGAGGAAGAATAAAAAAATCTAAGCTAATTTTTATTTTTTTTATAAAATTTTATCTCATATGAAGAACATGAATTTAGAATATTCGGAACTCATGACAGAAGAAGAGAACGAACAACATGTAAAAGATATGCAAAAATTTCTGAAGACATACAAAGCATTTAAACAATATCTAATGCTTCTAAAGATTATGCAAAATTTCTGAAGGTATATAAAGCTTATGAAAAAGCGTATGAAAAGTTTATACATTGGGGAATTGTTGTAATATCGATATGAAGACTAACCAAAAATATATTTTTGCTTAAATAGCTTCAGGGTCTATTTCTTCAACCATTTCACTTCCTTCGTCAATGTCAATAGAAGCTTCTTCAACTTTGGTAAGAATTTCTGTATAACATCTTTGTTCGTTATTGTCTTCAGAGATGAAGGATAATATTTCACATTTGTTTCACCCTTCTTATATTCTTTCTGTTCGGAAAGATTTAAAGCAATACTGAAGAAGTCAATATTAGAGTTCTTTATAACAGTATAATGAGTATCTTTGACATTCACGAAGAAACTCTTTTGTTTCAAACTACTGCTAACTCTTGTGAAGTATAACGTTTGCGGTCAATGACGATAGCTAATGGTCTGACATACTGACCAAACATAGATTCTTTCACAAACTTCTTGTTAAAGATAACATTAACATTTGAAGCATTATTGAACTCATTCTTGATGCAGTAGCGAGAGCATTGTATGAAAAGAACTTGCAATCTTGCATGTGTTTTCATTAAAATAAAAATATTAAATTATTTTGAAAATAACTTTAAAAAATCTAATCTAATTTTTTCAAAAAATATTTTTTTATTTCCTACTAAAGATGTATCGGAAGTTGTCTAAGTTAGAACACTCGGAAATAAAACAACTTCTTACAGAAGCTAACATAGATGTTGCAAAACATTACGCAACAAACAAAAAAGCACTCGCTGACTTCATTAAAGACTATAATGGTGCAATAAGTTATGATAGAATTCATGAGTTCATAAAGCCGCAACGCGGCGGAGGACGAAGTCATGCAAGAGCATTTCCTTTAAATGACGTTGCTATTGACTTATATCATAGACGTTCAGTACCTCATGAAGTAAGAAGAGAAATGTTTGACATAACAAATGCAAACGTTGGTGAAACAAGAAGAAGAGACGACATACTGAAACAACAGAGAAGAGAGATGTTTAAGAGCGCTATAGAACAAGTTCGCAAAGCTAATGATGTCATTCGTTCCATTGACGACAAACCAAAAGAAGGTGAGAGATGGTTAAAGAAGATGAAGAGAATAGGAAGAGAAATGTGAAGTCAGGCAATAGACTCATTGACTTTAACATCGAAGCTTTAGATGAACCAAACAGAGACTACTTACACAAACATTTCGGTAAGGTTTTCATGAGACTCGTAGAGAAAATTAAAATAACTCACAACAGAGATGGATGGTATGTTATAAACTTGTGGAAAGTATGAATGTTCTACGTTAAACCTCAATAATATTGGAACATTACTACATCAGCTCTTGAAGGAGAACTTTATATCAGAGATAGAAGCAAATGCCGCAGGTATTGTTGAAATGCACTATGACTTCTTCTTGACAAGCATAAAGAATCTTACTGAAATAAAGATGTATGATTTAACAGAATATGAAGGCTTAACGATGTCAGATGTAAAGAAAGGCAAACCAAAAAAGAGACCATATAGAGATGAAAGCACACTGACAAATGACCAGAAAGCCATTTTGGAAGCTCTTAAGCAAACAGGAAACCCAGCACTTATAGAAAGCTTTTGGAAAGATAATGGTGAAAAGAAGTTTTATAAGAAGAGAAGCGGTCAGTTCTGGAAGTATCTTTGCACATTACCTATAAATCTTGAGCGCTACCAAATCTTCAATGAATTGAACAAAAGAACTGCAGCACTTATGACAGAAGACAATTGTTTCGTTTATGCTTGCATTCAGGCTGGAGTAGATGGAGAGACTATTGACCACATGAGAGAAGTCATTCGTGTTAGAGACTTTCCTCAAAGTAAAGTACAAGAAATTTCTGACGCAACAGGTATAGCATTTAATGTTACCATTGGTTATTTCAATGACTCAAGACATAATGAAATAAAGAGATACATACCAAAAGAATGTGAAACTGTTAGAACTATTGACTTACTTCTTGTTGAAGACCACTACATGCTAAATGAAAGATTACCAATGACAACATATTTCATTCGCAACTATATAGAAATTCTCAAAGCTTGTGGTGGAATGAACATTGAGAAACAAATGAAGATTTATACAAAGAGAGAAGATAAATATGTAGTTCGTTATGATAGAACAACACCGTTATGGGATGTTATGAAAACATTGTGGGAGTGCAAATATTTCGAACCTATTTCTTATGGAGAACTTTTCACATATACTACTGACTTATATAAACAGAACCTTGCACCATTTAAAGACTTGTCATATGCTCCAAAGTATTGTGTACAACTGAAGAAGAAAGCCGAGTCAAAAGAAGTAAATAAAAATAAGTGCAAGTTCATTCCTGAGCACGTTTTCTTTGCTGACTTTGAGTGTAGCACAGACGGCTTTCATAAAGCTTTTAACATCTGTTATGACAGTGAAGATGGTTCAGTGAGTGAAAGCATTTGGGGTCAGAACTGTGCAACAGAATTTTTGGAACGACTTCCTGACAAGAGTTTAATATATTTCCATAACCTCAGTTATGATATAAACTTCATCTTAAGACACATGACAGAAGTGAAAGGAACTCCCATCATTAAAGGTTCACGAACAATGCAAATAACTGGCTTATATAAAGGAAGGGCAATTATTATAAAAGACTCTTACAGTGTTATAAATAAGAAGCTTAAACTATTTCCTGCTATGTTTAACTTACAAACAGGACCGAAAGAAGTATTTCCATACAACTACTACAGCAGTGTTTTGTTAGCAAATGACAACAGAACTGGTGTCATTTCTGAAGCATGTAAGTTTATCCGGGATGCAGATACATTCATGAAAAACATAGATTCCATCAAAGGTTGCAGAATAGATGAGAACCACTTCGACTTAGAAAAGTATAGCACATTTTATTGCAAACAAGATGTAAGAATTTTAAGAGAAGGTTTTGTTAAGTTCCGCAATGACATATTGAAAGAATTTGATTTAAACGTTTATGACTACGTTAGTATTTGTTCAATTGCTAACAAATTGTTTGAGAACAGAGTGTACTTCCCGAATGGAAATTTATATGACCTCTCAAATAAACCAAGAGAATTTATTTCACGCTGTATTCAAGGTGGAAGATGTATGCTGTCAGATAACATTAAACAAAAGAGCGAAAAGAAACTCATTGCTGATTTCGACGCTGTTTCATTATATCCATCAGCTATAGCAAGACTTTATACTTTAGAAGGTATTCCAAAGGTTATGAAGAAAGAAATGTTAAGCACAGAGTATCTCATGAGACATTTATTCGATGACGACCAAAAGGAACCCATTGGTGAAAAGTTTATGTCTGGCTTCTTTGTTCTCATTAAGATAACAGAGATTGGAATACATAGACACTTTCCTTTAATAGTTTGTGACCCTGAACTAAATCCAGAACTTAACGTTCCCAGAAGTTCAAACACTTGCTGTTTAATGTATGTTGACCATATAACATTACAAGACCTCATAAAATATCAAGGTGTCAAATGTGAAGTGTTGCAAGGATACTATTACGATGGAAACAGAGATATTAGAATAAGAGATGAAGTAAAGAAGTTGTTTGAGTTAAGGTTAAAGTATAAGAAAGAAGGAAATCCTTTGCAAGAAAATATAAAGCTCATTCTGAACAGTATTTATGGCAAAACTATTCTATCTCCTATTGAGTCAAAAATAACCATAGTAAATGACAAAGATGCTATAAGATATGCCATCAGAAACTACAACCATATAGTGAAGTTCGAAGGTTTGGATGGTTCAGATAAAACTATTTTCAAGCTAACGAAAAGCATTTGCAGACACTTTAACTTCTGTCCACTTGGTGTTAACATTCTGTCTATGTCGAAGAGAATAATGTGTGAAGTATTCTGTACTGCTGAGGACTTAGGAATGGACATCTTTTATAGCGATACGGACAGTATGCATCTCTACAATGAAGATATCCCTCGTTTAGCTGAAGAGTTTGAGAAACGTTATGGAAGAGTTCTCATTGGTAAAAACCTTGGTCAATTTCATAGCGACTTTGCAGAAATCACAAAAGATAAACAAAGTTTAGCATACAAGTCAATATTTTGTGGAAAGAAGACTTACATAGACTTACTCACGAATGATTTAAATGAAGTTGCATTTCACTGCAGAATGAAAGGCGTGAAGCAAGATGTTATTGCTTTAACCGCTAATGAAATGTTTCCTGACTCTGTTCAGTGTTTCTATGATGAAGATAAAGGTTTAATGGTTCCGCAAGGAACATATGACAAAGACTCTGAGTTCAGTTTAATGAAACTTTACAAAGCACTTTATGACGGTCAAGAGATTGGATTTGACTTATGTAAGTCATGTCAACCTTGCTTTGAAGAGAAGTTTAACTTCTCAATAACGACTAAAACAAGCTTTATTCGTAAGTTGAAGTTCTGAGGTCATTTATTTTTGTCAGCAATGAGGTCATTCGTGATAAAAATAAAACTAGCGGCAAGGGCGAAGCCCATGTGGTCATTTACAATACTGCGATGGTAGAGTTTAAGAGTTGTGCTTCAATGTAGAGACAGTCCTTATGGTCTGGAGGTAAGAACACTGGGCAGTTATGGTCATGAGTGGAGAACATGTCTATCCAAAACTCACGATTGAAGCCAGTTAATTTATAGTATTTAGGATTTGGCAGTGGTGTAGTTCTTGTATGACCAATGAACTCATTTTCAACTCCCTTACTTAAGTTTGAATATAATATAGCTTGCTTTCTATCCCAAATGCCTGGAAATCTAATTTCGGAAAAATCATTTTTCCTCGGAAGCATTGCATCATAATTGAAAACATTCTTGAAATCATCACTTGGTTCAGAGATTTGAAATCTTATACGTAATGGATTTTCTTTCTTTTTAGCGACTTCATTGAATGGTGAGAATACAATGAATTGACAGTCATGTGTTCCATCTTCATTTGGTACAAACTCGTAATGAAAAGCTATTAATCTTTCTACAATTCCTTCTTCTTTCAGTTGTGCAAGAAACTCACGTAAAGGCTGTAAAGTTTGTACTTCAATGTTAAACTTCTTTTGAAAATTTTCGTAAAATGTAATTATACAGTCTTCTAACGTTGTATCGTCTTTAAAGTATTTGTATATGTGAATGTTTTGGGCGCTTAAAGACTGTTCGTCATTTTCTATCTCGACTTGAAGTATAAAGTCAACCTTTCTGAAAGCACGTGTTATATACATATTTGTTATGCCAATGTACTTCTCTTCATTTATGTTCACAATCCAGTCTGTTGGAAACTTAAACGTTACTCTGTTCCCCTTTATTTTGACGTCAGGGTTTTCACTACTGAACGCAACAGATAAAGGTATTTGTCTATACATTTAATTCGGATAAAAATAAACCATTTACTCTTTCTTTGCTTCAGCTTCTTTAGCTTTTGCTTCAGCTTCTTCTCTAGCTTTCTTCGCCAGCAAACGTGGGTTCTTTTGTCTTCCAGCAGCTAATGCAGCAAGTTGTTTTTCACTAAGTTTTCTCTTTGGTCTCTCTGGCTTTTGTTCTTGTTTTTGTTCCTTCAGTTCGGATAAAATTTGCTCACGAATTTCTTTCTTCAATGCTTCAACATCTATGACCCCTTGGGTCTTGTCCGTAGGGCTTGTCTGAGTCATTTGACTGCAGATAAAAAACAAAATTAAAACTTTAACCGATGTAAAATGAGCTTGTCAAAATCAGAGCGAGAGTCTATTATATTAAATGACGCAAGAGGAATACAACATCCTTTCTATTACGTAAGTCAGAGTAAAGATGGTAAAATATACGTAAGAAAAAGAAAGGTTCCATTAGCGAATGCAGAAAGCGACAACATTAAGGTGTATGGCAAGGGTGAAGTCCACGAAGCCCATATAAAACCTTCTGTTCAAACTGAGCCACCAAAGAACAAGAAGAAAAGAAGCCAGATGTACTTTCAATAACGAACCAAGAGCTTATTGCAAAGTTCGTGAATTTCATTGAAAAACAAACCGAGTCAAAGAATCCTGACCCGCCAGTGAAAGAAGTTGAGACAAAAGAGAATGTACAGTTCATTGAAAATGTCAAGAAACAACTTCCACCACGAATGCCAAGAAGAAGAGTGAGAATAATGAAGTAAATAGATATTTTTATCTGAAGTAAATACATGCAGAACGAACAGCTAAACGAATTTACTCCAGCAGAGCATATTCATCAGATTCGCTCATATTTCGATATCATAGACAATGCAGTTCAAATTGGTGACACTAATAGAAAATATTCTGACGCAAAGATTCCATCACAACCTGGAACTGCTAAAGATAACACATGGGTAACATTCAATCTCTCACCTCCTGGTGAAAATATGTTGGACCTTTACAATACATTCATTACGTATAAAATGGAAGGTCAATTTATTGTAGATAAAGAAATTGGTTCAGGTTCCAATAAAACAAACCCACCAGGATTTTGGATTGGTTTCGATGACGCTTTCTATGCAGTTGCTGGATATCAAATCCTTGCAAATGGTCGTATCGTATATTCTCAAGACAACGCAAGAGAAGAAGCATATATAACTTCAAACTCACAAACTACCGAACAAATAAAGAAAGTAGATGTTTTCTCAAAGACTCGACATGAAGATGTATGGAGTCATTCGGGAACATGCAGAACAGGACAAATTGTTAGTGGTCCAATTACAGCAGGAAAATCATTTGATTTTAAGCTTCGTTTAAGAATTCCTGTTAGAAGATTCCTTCCATTAGAAGCTATTCGATTTATTCCAGCTTTTGCAGGAAACATTCAGCTTAAAGTAAAGTTCAGTAGCGACGCCTTACAATGCACATCTATATCTGTAAATGATATCATTGCTTTCAATCCAACTCTTAAAGTTGCATTTGCTTCAGATTCAAATCCACCGACAAATAAATTTGTTCCATGGAATGAACCATTCACTATGATAACGAAGGCAGTAGAAGCTAGTGGAACAGTTACTATTACAACTGTAACCCAGCAACTATTTCGAACAAAGATGGATTTTAATGAATGTTTCATTCATCCAAAGTCATTCTCTTTAGACCCTAACATTTATACAGAACTTGTAGAACATTATACAAACGAGGCTTTATGTTTTCCTGTTAAAGTTATGGATTGGATTCCTATGGACGGTTCATTCTCAAAGAATACAGATAGTTCAAGTGCAACATTTACAGCAGCTTATACGCCTATTAATGTTAAAAGTATTTGGGCACTATTTAGAAAGAAAGACAACTATTATGTTAATTTTGAGAACCCTAAGTTTAAATATCTTCAGCTTTCCATGGGAGCTTATGGAAATATGCCTGCAGAACCCGAAAAATCATATGGACCTGTATTTTATGAAATGGTTGCGAACGCTTGCAATACAAACAATGATATGATAGGATTTAATGAAGATGTTATGAGGTCATTGGTGGATGATGGTAGTGTGGAACATAAATGGGATAGCTATGACAACACACATTTCTTATGTGGTTTTCCAACAGAAGTGGACTTTTGCTTCCAGCAAGGTCAAACATCTACTGCTCCAATAACATACAAATTGTCTGTTAAAGGACCTATTGAACTAGCAACTGAAAATGTACCAAAGCCACTTATTGGATTTATGAGGGATTGTTGCTTTGCCATTCAGTGCGTGCTAATGGCATCCCATAATAAGATTAGATGACTATAACTTAGCTACGGACGACAGTGAGGAATAAAGGATGAACGTTTTTTTAAAGCTTATAAATGAGTTCTTCATCAAGCTCTCGTGAACCTTCACCATCTATGAAACAAACTTTACCAAACGATTATGGAGCACCTATTGAATATTTCTTACGAGCTGCACAATGGCAAAGAGCAGTCTCACCAAGGTTAGGTGTTCCACCAGCTCCTGTCAAAAATAGCATTTGGTCAAGTCCTTATATAAGATATGGTCTCCCACTAGGTTTGCTAGCTACAGCAGGAGCAGTTATGATGTTGAAAAAAAATAAAGCAAATGTTGTAAATAATACTGAAGTAGCTGAAGTTAAACAAACTCCAACACTTCGCCAAAACCAACGCCTTCACAAGCAAAACCTTCAATGACTCCTGAACCTATGGAAGTACAAACTCCTGTTCAAAAGTCAACTCCTAAACCGACTCCAACATTTAAACCAGAACCTACTCCTCAAATAAATCGTAAAACTCCTGCGTTTCCTTACTGAAAAAATAACGTTATTTTTATTTAATATTAAAATTTTTATTTGATTGAAATGACAAATAAAGTCACTGAAGCAATGAAACAAAAGTTTTTGGTAGAATACATTAAATCAGGAACTATTCCAGAAGGTTTTTACATTCATACTATGAAGGATGGTAGAGTTCAGTTTAGAAAGATAAAGCAACCATTAGATAAAGAAGGAATTTTGAGAAAGATTAAACTTCATGAGGACAACATTGCTAAACTTAAGAAGAAGTTAGAAGAGTTGGAGAAAGGAAGAGAGTTATAAAGCAATGAATTCAACAGGGTGAAAAAACAGGTGAGATCTCACCACTTCACCTAAATTTATTTTTGTGCTATGTTTTCATACGTGTGAGGGTGGTGATATCATTAATTTTTAAGTTTATTTTTTATTTTATTTTTTATTTTATTTTTATATAAATGACAGAACAAAAGCAACTCATACAAATCAAAACATATAACAAACATACATTTAAACATTTATTCTTCCTTCCTGAGTATAACATGTTCTTTACACTTCATCCTAGACCAGTTGACTATACACTGACTGTTTATAAAGATTGTCATGGTAGTTTTATAAAAACTTATGATGATGAAGGTAAGTTAACAAGACTATGCATTTCAAAACTTGAGAAACTTTATGACTTCAAGTATGACTACAATAGAGTTAACATTGACGATGAAGATATAGAAGAAAATTTATGAGAACGTTTATTTTTTCATTAGTGAGTTCGTTAGTGAAAATGTTAGTGAGGTGAAATGGTTGGCGGTTTTGTAAATATTTAAGGTTAAGTTAGTGTTGTCGTTTGTGTTGTAAAATATACGTTAGTGGTTTTGTAAAGTGTCAAATTCACATATAATGGGTAAGTAGGTGCGCAGTGCCACAGTACCCAACTAACCCATACTAACTATAAAATAAAAATAAAATAAAATAAAAATAAAAAACGGACGGCGATAATTTTATATTGTTTTGTTATTCGGCCGAATGGCGGCTACTTCGTACCCGCCATTCGGCCCCAAAAATGGCGTATTATTCTATTTTTAAACGGTCATGGCGTAAAACCGTCGCATCCATACTAAAATCGATAGCAATGTGCTGATCAATTGATAGAAAACTGTCATAATCATTTTATTATTATAAAAAATGATAGAAAGTGTGTGTTTTTGCGGATATTTTCTATTTTGCTAGAATTATTAACGTTTTAAAGATATAAAAATTTGTGTAAAATATGAAAAATGACTTCTTCTTTTAAAATGATTACATGTTTGAATAATGCTTGGATAAACAATGTAATTATGATTAACAATACTTGATCTATATTCATTGGAGTCAATACTATATAATTGGATATTGTGCGAACCTGGTTGTTGAGTTCCGAGATCAATTGAGAATTCATTCTTAGATGTATTTCTTGTTATTTGCTCAAATCGTTTCATGTCTTGGGAGCAACATATCTTAAAATTTGTATCAGTTTTAAATTGTCCATGGATGATAACTTTCTGATTTGGAAAGAAATATGTTGATCTGTTTTTATAGATGGATATCTCTGGAGGATTTGTTTCAACAATCAAAACAAATTATTGAATAATATTTGATTTTGTCCCTAATTCATCGATTGCATAAAAATCAAAATGAATTTGTGAACTAATTGGGAAATTGATGATATCAATTTTTATCGTACCTGTAACAAATGAATCACTCGAAACCATTTCTGAACTTGTGTATAAATCGTGATCTTCATATTTGCATTTAAATGTGACATTTCCGAGGCTTATTCCTGCGAGTTCGACTGTGACTCGTTCTCCGATTAAAAGTATCTCTGGGACTTTATTGACTAAAATGACGTCTTCTATTTTATAATATGGGACTGATTCAGAAAACATGAAGTAAGAAATTTGATAATAACCTCTTTCACTTGGAACTTTAAATGTGTCATTAAAAATATAATTCTGACTGTCATCTTGATGTGTTTGAATTAACTCATAATCTTGTAGACCAGATGAGTTAACAGTTCTAGAAATGTTGTATACTTCATTAAAATTATATGTAAACAATATTAGATCTAATGTGAGATTCGTGTCAGGATAATAACAACTCCTTTTTGGTGAAAATATCTCAATATTAATGACAATAGGTGTGATTCTTACGTATCCTTGACCTCGGTTGCCTATCAATCTTTCTGTGAATGAGTATGGTGAAGGCATTGATTCGTTGCCTGGGATGATTATTCCATTCTTGATAAAAGATTCATTTATGAAAGAACTTCCACCACCTCCAGCTGAATAGTAATCTCCACCAGCACCACCATAATAGCCAGAACCACCTCCTGAAGCCTCATGATAGCCTCTAGCTTCACAATTTCCTCCATAAAATTTGCCACCATTATTATTAGAATTTGCATAATTTGTTCCATAGCTTGTTTGAGTAGCACCTGTTCCACATCGTAAATTACCATAATATTTAGTGCAATGTGATCCATCCCCACCTGAAACTCCCCCTCCATATCCGCCATATGTATATTGATTAAAAAATGTTCCAGCACCAGATCCAGCACCAGCACCGGCAAAAAGAATTCCACTTTCATTTTTAGCTTCACCAATTGAAATGAAACTCATTCCTCCTCCTGATGATGAATAGAATTCATCATCATCATATGAACTTAACCCACGCCCTCCTCCTCCAAATGTGTTTCATAATATTGTTATAGGTTTACCGATATCACTATCATGCCTTAATATTTCAGTAGTTCCCATTTCACCGCAGAAAATATAAAGAGTTGTTTGCCGAGAAATATCAAGCTCTCCACTGGCATAGCCACCTTTGCCACCTTCATATAATGTTCCGTTATATGTAACATTGCCTCCTTGTGCACCCCATGCTTCAAGCCTGTATCTACCTGGTGGAAGATCTCTTCTAAATGGTTGGCAATCGAGATAATTTGTGCAATTATACACATATAGCTCACTGCGAATGAAGAGATCCCAAAGTATCAAAGTAAATGAGATTTCAAATTAAAATCTCAGATTAATATAAAATTGACAATAAAATAAATTCATATGGATTTGTTGGTCCTGTAAAATTTTGATAATTAGAAGATTTCAAAATATGTTAATTTACATGGATATTTTCAGTAATCATGATATTAATTATTTTAAAAATTATAATTTGGACGATACTAATGGTTTCCTATATTACAATTGATTTGTAGATTTACATTGGAGAAAAGCTTCTTAAGCTTTTTAATCCCATAAATGGCCATCATTTGGAAATAAAAAGTGTCAATAAATTGAATAAATTAACACATTTTTACTGATTCATATGTATTTACTGATTTTTATTTTGATGAAAAGAAAACAACAAAATTTATGAATGCTTATAATTATGATAAAAGGAATATGATGAGAAGAAGTTGAATTTAGAAATATTCAAAAGGAGATTGGGACAAAGTTGCAATTCGGCACTTTTTGTAAAAAAAATGGGGTCATACTCATAATGAATAGAGACTTATAGCCAAGTCTTGATATCATGCAGGGAGAATATACATTGATAAGCAATTATATTTTATAGTAGTAGTATTCAGAAATTCTTACAATTTACAATACAATTTTCAAAAATGGATAAAGACTAATAGCCAAGTCTTGATATCATGCAGGGAGAATATACATAGATAAGCAATTATATTTTATAGTAGTAGTATTCAGAAATTCTTACAATTTACAATACAATTTTCAAAAATGGATAAAGACTAATAGCCAAGTCTTGATATCATGAAGGGAGACTCTCTACAAATACAAAAATTGATTATCATAAGGAAATACAAATTTATCAATTTTCATGTGAAAATTACATAAATTTGTTCTCCAATAAATAGCAATAATACTTTGAATGTTATATTAAGTAATATAGCTTCAGGTAAATAAGCTTACACTTCAAAAATATACTGTTTATTCATTAATTTTTAAAAAAGTCCAAATTATCTAATCTTGCTTACTCTTCCTTTAAACTTCTTTGTGCCAAATTTAATATTGCCTTCAAAGATGGAATAAGGACATTAGGTTCAATCCTTCGGCTTTCGACAATTTCCAAAATGTGTTGAATTAATTTCAAACATTCATCGTGTTTTGAAGCTCTTTGCTCAACAATCTGATTACCTGCCCTTGTAAGAATTCTTACTGCTCTATCTTCATTCAAAACATTAGCGACTTGAACCTTAATAATCGCATTTGGAATCACAACAGTGATGAGAGTTATGACGATATAAAAAAATATTTTATTATACTCATTCGAAATTAAAAATAATAAAATTTATATATATTAATTTCATTAAATCAAGGTTAAAAATCTCACCGGAAAAATAACCTCAGTGTGATAAATTTATCACCGGAAAAATTTACAATAAGGTTAATACCGAAAATATCGAAAAATCAACATTTAAGGTTAATTTAAGAGTATGCACTTTTGTCACCTACTCTATTCAAAAGTTCAATTCGATTTCATTTCACAAGATTAGAGTAATAAATATTTTGTTTTCAACAATATAATTTAATATGATTTCTTTTTCTGTATAATAAGAGAAAATTATCAATTCAGATAAAAAAGAAATTAATTTTGAGTTCAAAGGTAAAAATTACTATACATTTGAACCTCAACATGTGAGGTTAAAGAAAGGATACTATTTATTTGAATTATGGGGTTGTTCAAGTACAGGTTATCAAGATTCAGACACATATCTACAACCATCAAGAGGATCTTTTGTTTCTGGTTATATACTACTAAAAAAGACAAATGATTTCTATGTACACGTATGTTCGAAAGGTCAATATTATATGTACAAGAATTCATATGGAGGGGGAGGTCAGGGACAATTCGGGGGAGGCGGATCAAGTGATATCCGTCTTTTATCAGGAGAATATGATGATTTCGAATCTCTGAAAAGCAGAATCATCGTTGCAGCAGGTGCAGGAGGTTCAGACTCTAAAGATCAAGGAGGTCCAGGAGGATCATTAAAAGGATACAACAGCACACAAAACAAAGGTAAAGGAGGAACACAAACATTTGGAAGCATCGGCATTGAAAATGGTAAATTTGGAAAAGGATGTGGTGAAAACAGAACAATTGGACTAGAACAATATCACCTCGGAACATCAGGAGGTGGTTCAGGATACTTTGGTGGTGGAACATCAGATGATTATGGTTCAGGTGGTGGAAGTTGTTACATCAGTGGACATGAAGGTTGTGTTTCTGTCATCAAAGAATCAAAAATGGATAATATATCTTTCAAAACACAAGGAGATATCAGTATCCACTATTCAGGATTTAAATTCGAAAGAACAGTTATTGATGATGGAAAACATGAAATGAAATCTCCAAATGGTACATTCGAAATCGGACATCTTGGAAATGGATTTGTTCGAATTACAACAATATTTGACATATCAGAAATTTCTTGTAATTTTATTCCTTACTATTCTATAATGCATTCTTTTGTATTTCATATATTTTTATCATCTTTAATCTATTGATTATAATGATAAATATTCTATTTTAATGGTAATAATCAACATTCAAGATATAAATGAATGATGAGTAAATTTTGAAATTTTACCATCAATTAATGTTGGAATATCATTATCTCTATCAAAGGATTAAATTTAATTTTAGGTATATATGGTTTTGTTATCTCTAATTTTAGCAGTTCTTTTTGATCTGTTTGTGATTTCCTGTTTTCGGCAAAATATACAATAATAAAAATGATTGGCTATTGTTTTTGAGAAAATATCAATGCAATAAAGTTTATCAAGATATACATCATTGTTGGAAAAATTAAAATTAAATTCATTCTTTCTAATTAAACTCGATATATTTCTCATGGTTTGTTAAAGTGTGTTTAGAAGATGCTGCTTTGTACTTGCATTTAAAAACTTCTCCTCTTTTATTAGAATTCGTTTGAGACCCTTGCGCAGAGAAGATTATCATTATGACTACAATTGTATTCTAATTGAGTTTGAAGTGTAAAATATGAATGAAATCATCGATACTTGTAATCCTTTAAAAAAAATGCCAACAATTTTTTTTCCAAAAAATACCAAAAAAAGTGACATAAAATGTTTTGATTGTCAATTTCAAGGGATTTAATCCCTTGATAAAGATAATGACATTGTAATTTTAATTATACAATCTTTATACTTAAATAATATTATGCTCTTATTAAAAGAAAACTATTTTTTTGTGTGATAAACAAAATTTCGGACTTAATTCTTTCGAATATTTTTATGAATTATATGAAAATGAGACACTTATTGATACTATTCTTGGATTCCGGTCCAAATCTTGATACTTGGACACATTTTTATGACAATTCAAATATCACTGAAAATCACACTGAAAATACAAAATTAAATCCAACTGTATCAGGAAATTATTATGTTACAACATGTTTATTCAATGGAATTAATGATATTGTTGTCTATATAGACAAAGGAGATCAAACAAAACTTCTTATTTCTATTTCTGGATTCAATGGCACAAAAACTCCATCTTTTACAGTTTTTTCTTATTGGGGAAGTTGTGTTATCTATCGAACATGTGCCACAAAATCTATACAAACACAATCAGGATATGAAGGAGTATTTTTATATTCAAAAATATCAGGATTCAATACAAACAACAAAAACATTTTTGAAGATTCAACAGTCTTTGATTGTGGAGACTCAATAGATAAAGGAGATTCAATTAATGATTTAAGATACGGAAATCTTAGTTATTCACGAAATAACATAACAAATAACAAATGTAAAGATGATGTTTCACTTGACATTTGTTCATGGACGAAATGCAACATCAGTCAATCATCTTTCATTGATAATAAAGCAAACCATGAATGCTTTTGTTTTGGTCGTATTGGTCTATATCAATTTTATTTATGTAATATCATTAGAAACAATGCTGCTGTATATTGTTTTTATTTATATGATGCAAAAGTTAAATTTGACTCTTGTTCAATCAAAAAGAATAATTGTCCACAAACATTTAATTTATCTGGTTCATGTTCAGCTACAATCATCAATAGTGATTATGATGGACAAACATCAAGTGTAACAATAATAAATCCAAAAAACAATATCTACAACAAATTATCACATCTTTCTACAGGACTTTGCGAAGCAAAATTTAAAATTGAAAATAATTTGGAAAAAAAAAATGACATAAAAAAATTCAACCAAATGAAAAATTTTTTCACCTCCCAATATTTAATCCACTACCAACGTAATAATCTTCTTGATATTTCTCACATTTCATCATATTCAATTTTATCACTGATTAAAAAATAATTTTCCAAATTTAATAATATCCAATTTTTAAACATTCAATGGACTCTTCACCTGCATTTGCTCTTGTTCTGAAAACAAAATAAATGAAAACAGATCATAACATTGAAGATTATGATTCGTATTGGATTTCTAATAAGGATTATTCACAATATGATTCAGATTCGCAATATTTCAATTTTTAGAAGATTCAATTTCAAATGTTTTATAATAAAACAGAAGAAAAGTAAAAACTTCGACATTGATATTGAAAGCTGTCTTAGATCAGTTAGCGATGTGGAATCTACTGACCAATTATAAGAATTACAAAAAATGATTAAGTTATTCAACCTGGCCGTAACAGTTTGCTTCCTTTAGGAATACAATCATTCATTCATTCACTTTTTGTTCTTGATGAACAAAACAATTTGTTCTCAGTTTATAATTTTTGTGAAGATATCGAACTTCGAAAATATTTATATGAACTTTCATTAAAATTCAAAGAAGGCTTGATCAAAGAAGAAGACTTTGTTCGTGAGACATATTTATCATTTCGACTTGCATATCATATCATTGTTGTCAAATCTACTAAATATCTTTCAATCATCTCATGCAAAGCTCATGTCAACATTATGAGGTCAGTTGAAGTTCTTTTCCATGCAGTTATGTCAGTTTTGATCACACACAACCACAGTAAGTTAATTCATGTTAAATCAACAATTGAATATGAAGATATTATGTATGTTCAAAATCGTTCAGCAAATTTAGCAACAATTGAACGAAATTCACAAGGAAACATCAAGATTTATGGCAATTTGTTTGGAAACCGATGCAGTAATGAAGTTGAGAAAGATTTATTTGAATTAATTGATAAATATCAAATCAACAAAAACATAAATGAAATCTCAGAATTCATTCTTCCATTTTGGATTTCAAATTATGAATGTCACTTTTTACTTATAATTGGTCGATATGTTTTATCTAAAATCACAGGTCGAACTATATATATTGGATTTATTAGTGATGTTTCCGATATATTAAATTATGACAAAGAACTGTTAATTCAACATTTATCTGCATCAATGATGAATTTTCAACGAGTTCAAGGCATTGATTATCATTTAGAACTTCGTGAATTTAGTATTAGAATTTTTCATGAATTACCACCTAATTCATTCATTACATTGACGAAAATCTCAGACATGAAAAAGATTGAAGTTTTTTCTAAAGAATCACAATATTTAGTTCGTTTAATCAAAGAAGATTCATCACCTGTTCTTGCACAGACTGTTCCTATTGGAGATTCAGGTGATTTCTTCTTTTATCCTATCAAACATTTATCAAAGACACTTGAATACCACAAAATCACATCATTTAGTGATTGTAATGTCGACAAGAACGAAGTTCGTGTTAGTTTTATGAATTTGATTACAGACGCATTTTTAGATTTCGGAATTCAATCATCAGATAAACCGAAGAAAGAATTTCATTTCCCACCAGAATTATCACATTGCAAGCGATGTTCAAATCATTTATAAAACATCGCATCATGTATTTATTCATCATCTTTATCACAATTTTATATCAAAGTTGAAGAATGTTTTAATTTTGGAAGTTCATTATAATTTGTTATTTAGAAGAGAACGACAAAATCCGACCATTTTTGATCTCCATGACATTTAAGAATTCTATTTTTTGTGTTATCTTTACATCAGTTGAAAATGAAGTTTATTTATCTAATAAAGTTATTTTAGTTCAAACAGCTATGGATGCATTTGGAACAACAGGTCGCATCTTCCCATATAAATACGAGTTCACAGAAACTCCAGACCGAGATTACACAACATCACCAAGTGGTTTTAGTCCAGTTTTGTTATCAGAAACTAGTTACAAAAACATTTATTTGCCCGAACACAGAGAATTGATGCGTAAACAGATCTCATCAGGTAAGGTTGAAATGTTTTTCATTGTTAAATACGAGACATTGAAATGGTACTTGTCTAAAGGCTCCATGTATGGTGATGAATTGCGTGGTGTCTGTGTTAACATTCCAGATTATTTAGTTAAATCTAAATATTCACCACAAAATATGATTCATTTTACAAATGTTTTCGAAGATAAATTCAAGAAACTCACATATGAAACAGGTGAAGATATTACAACATTCTATGAAGCCGTTAAAGATGTTCTTAAAGCATGGAGAATAGAAAACTAATATATTTTAATTTTAACATTTTATTTTTGTTTGATATATATTATAAAATATATTATATATAGGTAAAATCATACAGTTTTTATGCATCTTATAATGAATTCATAAGCGTTCTATTTGTATATTTAAAATTCTCATTAATATAAATAGTGAATTGTAATTTTGTAAATCGTATTAATAATGTGGATGTATGCTAATGTTATCAATATATTTTCATTAGGATAAGTCTATTACATAACAATATGTGGGTAACTACGATAATATTGTCCACCCTATATTTTGTTTGTATGCTTGCTTGAATGTTTGTTACAATTAATTGTTCGGTGCAAATCATGCGAAAAATCAATTATTTAAAATTTGGAATGAAACATCATCATAACATCGATTATTAGTTATATTGTTTCTTGAATAACTTAGATTGTTGAAATTGGATTCTATTAATTGATAACGATTCGTTAAAATGTGTTTAACAGATTCGTTTTTTTTTTGGGGGGTGGCATCAGAATGCAAATGGTTTACCGAATTTGAAAGGGCTTTGAAATCACTATAGGAAGTAATATAAACTATAATTCTAATATATCTCTCAATTTTCTCACTATATAAAGATCCTTATTAAAAAAAAAAAAAAAAAAAAAAAAAAGGTAGTGGGGCTTCCAGGCACTTCGTGCCTTCTAGCCCTGAAGATGATTAGTATAAATGAAGTTTTTATTCGGAGGGCTTCCAGGCGCGTTGCGCCCTCTAGCCCATAAGAAATTTTGCCCAAGACCCAAGAGGAGGACCGAACCCCAGCCGTTGACACTTTTTCTGTCGCTTTTCACAAATTATATATGTTTTCATGTTTTGTCACTTTTCTGTCACTTTTCGGGTAAAAACATTTTTATTATTATATATAAATGAATTTTACAAAACCACCGTTACCGTTCTTTGGAAATAAGAGTAGATGTAAAGATATTATATTGAGAGAACTTAAGAAACTACCGAATGGTCTAACATTTGTAGATTTGTTCGGTGGAAGTTTCTATATATCCCATTTATGTCATATAATATTCCCAGACTCAAAGATTATATGCAATGACTTCGACAACTATATGGACCGTCTCAAACATATTCCAGACACAAACAATATATTGAAAGAGTTAAAAGAAAAGATACCTATAGGTAAGATGGAACGTATACCATTAGATAAGAAAAAATATTGTGAGAGAGGTTTTGAAAAAAGCAGAATATATAGACTGGGATAGTATATCTGCTAGACTATTATATAGTGGTTCTATAAGAGTTCATGACATTGAAACACTTATGTCAAAAGTTTTATATCTTAACTATACAAATGTTTTCAAAGAGGACATAGAAAAATATATTGAGGGTATAGAGTTTGTGAGATGTCATTGGACAGAGTTGTATGAAAAATATAAAGACAAGGAAAATGTTTTCTTTATAGTGGACCCGCCGTTCTATAACACATGGGATTTTCAATACCAAGTAGACTGGACTTTGAGAGACTCTTTAGAAACTTTAGACGTTATACATAACCATCCATGCTTTTACTTTACATCCGATAAAAGTGGTTTGGAAACCGTTATGAGATGGTTAGAGGACATACATGACTATGAGTTTATATATGACAAGATAGAATATGAGAGAGGTCCTATAAACCGGAGAAAGTGTCACAATAAAGAAATTTTATTAGTAAGTAAATGTGGTTTGAAATCGGACTACTTGTTTTAGGTTTTTTCCATTGTGTCATTTATTTATTTGACGTGGCAGAAAAGTACAGAGAATATGAAGATGAACCAATGCCTGCAAATGTTCAGCATATGTACTCGTAAGAGATATTTTTATCTAATATTAAATGGACGCACAGAACTTAGCGAATGCACAGCAACCTGGACAACCAAACCCAGAGAATATTCCAAATGAAGTTAGAATACAAACTGCAATGGCAAACTATGGTCAAGTGCCAACAGATGTACAAATGCAAACTGCCATGTCAAATGACGCTGCGTTAGGTTTGCCACCATGGTATGCAAATATGAGATGGAAAGAGTTTTATACAAACCCTGAAGTGGGATATAAACAACTTTATGCAGATGACGCGAACACAGGAGTTGACCCAGAATATGTTTTCTACCAGAGGAGAAACAGAATGTATGAGCTCCAGTTAAAGAATGCTATGGAACTCAACAGGAAACGTAAAAGACTAGGCGGACATTAGATTTTTACATATAGTAAAATGGGTTTCTTCAGTAAGATAGGAAACTTCTTTCGAAATGTTGGAAGAGGTATATGGAATGGAATAAAAACCGTAGGAAGAGGAATTTGGAACGGAGTCAAAAATATTGGTAAAAGAGTAGGTCAGTTCGTTGGTATTATACCTAAAGACCCTGAACCAGAAGAACAAGCTCCTGTTATACAACAGCCTGAACCTGCACCACAGTCTAGTTGGCAACCAAATCCAACACCTCAACCGTATTAAAAAATTATATTTTTACTGTTCGATAGTAGTTGTATATGAAACTAAGTTCTAAGTAAAACGCATGGTATAATGGAATTATTCTTTTTCTTCCATCTGTAGTAAACCATACTTGAAAGTCTGAAATACTTCCACTTGGTGGTTCGTATAACTTTGTAGGTTTTTCGTAAAAGTCATTTGCCAAGCATAAGAAAGAGTTTTGGGCGCCAGAAAATGAAGCATGAACAATAATAGCATCTTGGTCGAAAATATTTTCATATGTTCCATTAGGGTTTTCGACTTCATAATAGTCCGGGTGTACTGGATATGCTGCAGGCTGATTTAACATCCTCATAAATCTATACCATGCCAAGTTGTTATATTTTGTAGAAATATAAACGTTTTCTCCAAGGTCTTCTATTTTATTGATTTTAACAGTTGCATTTTTTCCTGTCATAAATAATATCGAGATGGTATTCTCCTTCGTCAATGTTATACTGGTTTGCATATTCGATATAGATATCGTTTATTTTTTCTTGAAAAGCTTGAAGAGTTGTTTCTAAGTTTACAAGCAAACTAACTTGTAAAAGTTTTCCCTGTTCAAATTTCTCATGCATACGTTTTTCTTTGTTATAGTATCGAACTTCAAAACCGACCGTAAATGGGAAACCATGTATGGCTTCTGAAATGAACTTCATTCTACGAAAGCCAATAGCTTTTGTGACGGATGGGTCTCTTAGCCATCTTAATGGGTAGTCAAAACGATAGCCTTCATGCTTTACGGTCTCTGTCTCAAACTTTTGACCGACATTAGTAAAAAGTTCATCTAATGGTTTAGTTGTAGCAACTCTTGAATTTTCTTTTTCTATTGAAAGCATATTTTATCTAGAATAAAAATGTCGAAAGATATTGCTTCCATGAGAGAAATACAACACAACCGACAACTCATTATGCAAGCTCTAAATAAGAACACAACAAACTTTTCAAACTATTCTAAGATATCTGAGTCATTGAAAGAAGGAAACTTAAAACTGACATTAAACCCTTTAACAGATGAGTTTCTATTTCAAGACAAGAAGAACAATACTGTCTGTATAAATCCAACAAAAGGAACTTTAAACGAGAAACCTATAAATGAACTTCTTTTGAAAGCAGATGTTGACAACAAAGCTGACAAAGAATATGTAGACGATGCAATAGCAAAAGAAGAAGAAAGAGCTAACAATGCTTATGCAACAAAAGAACATACTCATCCTGAACTAGCAGACAAAACATATGTTGACAATAAAATGTCAAGTGAAGTGACAAGAGCTGAAAACGAATATTCTAAAAAGACTCATATACATTCTATATCTGAAATAACAGACTTAAACGTTAGCCTTGAAGAGAAGGTAGATAAGGGACTTATGGCTAGTGTGTTAGTGAAGAAGGCGGATAAGGAATATGTGGATGAAAAAGATAAAGAAATTATAGAAAGGGCTGACTGGTACCATGAATGGACATCGAAGATTTTAAAAACTAAAGCTGATACAGGATGGGTTTCAGGATGTTTAGACCTTAAAGCAGATAAAACTTATGTTAACGATGAGTTAGATAAAAAGGCAGACAAGAACCATACACATACAAGTTTTACAACTGTTGCTATAGAAAGTATTGAAGGAACGGTTGACGTAACTGATGGGGATGTATTATATTGTAAACCTCCTAACTTTCCACAAGGTTTAACATCGGATGACGACATAACGACGATGAGAAACATTAGATGTAAAGATGTTTATGTCATGAAGGATGAACATAATATTAAATTCACTGCTCAAGATTTATATGACAAGAAAGCAGACAAAACAGAGCTTCAAACATTAAAGACAGAAATACTTCAAACATTATATCCTATAGGCTCTATTTATACGTCAATGAACTCTACCAGACCAGAAGTAGTACTTGGTTTTGGAACTTGGACTCAAATAGTCGACAGGTTTTTGTATTGTGCAAACTCTTCAAAGGCAACAGGTGGAAGTAAAACGATTTCAGGTGAAAATTTACCTGCACACAGTCACTACATAGATTTAAGTACATCTCAAGCAGGTTGGCATAAGCATAAATTTTGGGATTGGTCAGCAATGAAAAAAGGTAAAAGGATATGATGTTAAAGACGACGACGTTCAGTTTGCTATAAATTGTTTCTGGGGTAACACTCAGGGAGATGGAAACCATACACATCGCGTTTCAGGATATACGCAAACAACGGGACAAAGTAAAGAATACATGCCACCTTACATGACAGTTTACGCATGGTATAGAAATGCTTAGTCGTCATTTTCAACTTCTTTAGCATATTCGTCAGGAGTTGTCTTATATTTGTTAGGAACTGTCTTTGAAGTATACCACTTGAACTTTGACAAGTTTGAAACGAGGTCTGACAATAGTAGTTTTATCTTCTGCTTGCAGTGTGTACATTTTGCCATGTTTGCCTAAAACTTCATAATATTCTCTTGTATACTTTCTTCTATTTTTACGAACACGAATGTGAGTACCTGTCGAGTTCCCATTGTTGTCATAGTCAATAGTATTTTCATATGGGTCGCGTTTAGGTATTTCTATTTTTACTTTGTCACCTTTCTGAAGTTTGAAGCCCGGCATTCTTTCTTGTTTGTCTCTTTTGACTAAATTATTAAATATATAGTCTTTCTCTAAGTCAGGGTTGTTTTTCATTTCTTCGGGGGAGTGGTTTCCCAAACCTTTTTGTTTACGGTTATTGTAAATATTTAAAACTTGTCTCATCTTTGCCATGGAGAAGTGTCTATACTTGTCGTCATATGACATTTCATTTGCTTCACCACCTTGTGGTTGGTTTAAGTCTCTTAACATTTTTATACAACCGTCAATGACACCAAGAGCAGAATGGTTTTGGTCGACAATGAAATATTGGTTTACATTTTTTGAACGCAGATAGTTTTTAATATCATCTGATTTGAAAGAACTTTCACAGTCAGATGTCAGTTTTGTTGGATGGTATTTGTCAACGAATATTGTCAAAGCAGTTTTCACATCTAAAATATTTTTGGACCATAATGGTATGGCTTCACAGTATCTTGTGTTTTGACCAACAAATATTAACCAGTATGGAGGTCCATCTTCTCTATACCTCGGAATGTTTTCCAAGATATCCATAAACCAAGCATTTGGTGTTGAACTAAAGATTTTTATCATGAGTGCTTTCTTTGTTGCCTTAGAAACATAGGGGTCCTTGTTTGGATTCGTCATTTTTTAACCCATAAGAAATGGGTTTATTTGGCGCATTAGCAGGAGTTGCATCCAGATTTTTGCCCGCAGTGGGAACAATAGCCAGAGGTGTATTTGGAGTTGGAAGGAAGATTTTGAGTACATTAGGTATACTTAAAGAGAAAGCACAACCTATTATACAAACTGTACAGAAAGGTTGGGATGTAGCACGAGATGCAACAAATCTTATTCCAAATCCTGAAACAAGAGGAAAAGTTCAAGGATGGATGGACAATGTAGGAAGACAAGCAGGAAACTATTATAACAAAGCAAATGACTACTATAACCAAGCAGGACACTATATGGACCAAGGTGAAAGATTCTTTAACAGAGGATATAACCATGCACAACAATGGGTAAACAATAACCAACCGCAACCACCTCAAACTTGGGGAATGTAAAATTTTTTACTGAGATGAAATGAACAATACAGCATTGAGACAAGTGGGTTCAAGATGGATTTGTCGGCTTCCAGCAGTTACACCACGTGTTTGTCAAGTTCTTCCTATACCTCAGGAAGTTTTAGACCGACTTAAAAAACCTAAACAACCAGTTGAAAACAAACCAAACTAAAATTTTTTACTGAGATGAAATGACCGAAGAAGTTGAAACGGTAGATTTGACACCACAAACAAAAAGTTCAGAACCATTGTCAAAACCCGTCAAAGAACTTACAGATGAAGAGAAAAATTCAATAATAGAAAGTGCCAGGTCTGGAAATACAAACCCTAACTATAAAGTCACTTTTCATAGAAATGGAACGGCTAGTATCTCAAAAAAGAAACAGACTCTCACAAATAAAATATTGAAGTCTGAAGGAGCTTTCGAGACAACAGATGGAAAAGTTTACTTCACTGACCAACAGTTCATTATAGAACATCTCATTGACTTAGAGTCGAAATATTCTAAACTTTACAACAAACACAAAAAGTTGAAAGGAAAACAAAAACAAATGGCATATGATATTTATGAAGATGTTGACAACACAACTGTTCCTGCAAGTGAAGTAAAGTCAGAGGAACCGAAAAGTGACGAAAAACCGATAGAAGAAGAAAAACCAAAAACTGAAGATAAACCAAAACCAAAGTTTAGTTTGGAAACTAAACCAAGTCAACCTTCATTAGCTGGTATGGGTTGGCGTCAAAGACTTATGGCAGCAGGCGGTTATGTAAAGTAAAGAAAAAAAACATTTTTTTATTTTTATAAAAATGCCCCCATATAGAATGGATAGAAAGTCTGCTAGAATAAAAGCAGAGTTACAAAGATATGGTTGGAGAGTTTCGAAGAATTTTAAATATAGGAAGGGAAGACCCATAAAAGTCTATGACAAATTGTCTGGTCTTCGCTACGAAATGGATTTGGAAACAGCACATGCCAATTATCCAAACAGACTAGAGAGGTTAGAAGAAGAACGTCTTATGAACATGCCTTTCGATGTGTTAAACATTGCATGAAGTAAAAACGTTTTTCAAAAAAATATTTTTTTTATTTTATTTGAAATGTACGCTGAGTTTGTTGGAGAAGACCGTTGGGAAACTTGTTTGTTAGATGAGAAATATGAAATTCACTGTTGTGAGTCATTTGAAGTCAGAAACAAAAAGACAAAAAGAGTTTTAAGCGAATGGGAGCGAAATGACGGATATGCTATAGTTAGTATGGGTGGAAAACACTATCTTAAACATGTTGTCATTGCAACTCATTTTATACTGAATCCTAACAATTTACCTTTTGTAGACCATATAAACCGTATAAGAAACGACAATAGACTTGAAAACTTACGTTGGGTCACTCGTTCTGAAAACAATAAGAACAAAGGCAAATTTAGAGATATTGTATTCGAATTTGTCGACGAACTAGAAGATGAAACAATTGAAATTACAGACTATGGCAAGCATACGTTTGAGTTTTACTACTATAGCGAAGAACAAGACTCTTTCTACTTTTATACCGGCGTAAACTATAGGAAATTACAAGTATATTTTACTAAGGCGGGCTATGCTTATGTAAACACTAGAGATACAGATGGAAAAAACGTTCAAATACTTCTTAACAAATTCAAGAAGCTATATGTCATACCATTTTAAAACAATATATTTTTACATATATTAAATGCTTCAGGTTGAAAAACAAAGAACAAAAGTAGCAGATACAAAACCATTAGACTATATCTTTACAAATGCTGGTAGGACTATTTCAGATGAAGAAATTTCATCCCGAGCATACAGGTTTGACTATCCAATTCGTTGGCTTCAAAGTCCTTCAGATGCAAAGGCAATAGGATTTAGAAGAGTTTTGTTTTCAAATAGAACTAACGCATTTATGTTCGCAGTATATTTTCATGGGCAGTATAAAGGTTCTGATGGTCTAATAGACAAATTTGACGAAATGAGAATCTTTACGGTTCGTTCAGACGAAAGTCTTGAGAAAACTCTAAATGACTTTCAAACTCAAATGAACAAATATTATTGGGAATTTCAAGAAAAATACGACTCTTTACTAAATGGAACATACTATCTGAAACTAGAATATGACAAGATGAACTCCACCGTTTCATTTCAAAAGATTGAAATTAACCCTCCAAGAGATACAGAGTTTTTATTTTGGGAAGTAGACAAACGTTCTTGGGCACAATTTCTTCGGTTACTAAACCAGAACGAGCCATTACCACCAGATGGTCCATTTAAATTTATACTTCCACCAGCAGATTTGACAGTTTATAGAAACGTGTTTGACCCTCAAAATGTTATGTGTCATGCAAGTTTCAGTTCAAGCAACAATAGTTTTCTATGTATTGGTAAGGACTTTTATGACTTTGCTTCTAAATTCTACGAACCACCTAGTAACAGTTTCTCTGACTTTCAAGTTTGGTTCACAACAAATGGTGTGCAACATATTATTCCATTGTACTATGACTTTTATCTCGAATTGTCTTTCATATTTAACTACAGGAAAGTGCTGAAAAAGTATTGAAAAATAATGTTTAGGGTAGAAGGTTAGATCTAACCTCTTTTCTAACCTCTTTTCTAACCTCTTGAATTTTCATGATTTCATCGTACATGTTTTGTCATGACTTCTTCGTACATGTTTTGTCAAACATGAACGTAAATGTTTTGTCATGATTTCATCGTACATGTTTTGTCAAGACTTCTTCGTACATGTTTTGTCAAAACTTCTTCGTAATGAGTGTAAAGGACCAAAAAATAATGTTTAGGGTAGAAGGTTAGATCTCACCTCTTTTCTCACCTCATGAATTTGTCATGACTTCTTCGTAAACTAAACGTAAATGTTTTGTGAAGAATATAGCAACCGCCGGAATTCAGACGGTTGCTTTTTATACAAAATTCATGCGGGAAATTCTTGAGTTTTGGTTGAAAGAATACGGTGGAGCCAAAAGCGGCTCGACCTCAAAACAAGCATTTTATGAGCTTACAAAGGGTGTTATGAATGAATTCAGCAACATACATCCTGACCTCGTTCATTTTGTTGCTAAATTCAGTAAAAATATATTTTAGGTGAAGTGGTGCGATCTCACCTCTTTTTTCACCTGTTTTCTCACCCTCTTGAATTTTCATGATTTCATCGTAAATGTTTTGTCATGATTTCATCGTACATGTTTTGTCAAGACTTCTTCGTACATGTTTTGTCAAGACTTCTTCATCGTAAATGTTTTGTCATGATTTCTTCGTACATGTTTTGTCAAGACTTCTTCATCGTAAATGTTTTGTCGAAACTTCTTCGTAAATGTTTTGTCATGATTTCATCGTACATGTTTTGTCAAGACTTCTTCGTACATGTTTTGTCAAGACTTCTTCATCGTAAATGTTTTGTCATGATTTCATCGTACATGTTTTGTCAAGACTTCTTCATCGTAAATGTTTTGTCATGATTTCTTCGTACATGTTTTGTCAAGACTTCTTCATCGTAAATGTTTTGTCGAAACTTCTTCGTAAATGTTTTGTCATGATTTCATCGTACATGTTTTGTCAAGACTTCTTCGTACATGTTTTGTCAAGACTTCTTCATCGTAAATGTTTTGTCATGATTTCTTCGTACATGTTTTGTCAAGACTTCTTCATCGTAAATGTTTTGTCGAAACTTCTTCGTAAATGTTTTGTCATGATTTCATCGTACATGTTTTCTAACCTCTTGAATTTGTCAAGACTTCTTCGTAAATGTTTTGTCAAGACTTCTTCGTAAATGTTTTGTCATGATTTCATCGTAAATGTTTTGTCGAAACTTCTTCATCGTAAATGTTTTGTCAAGACTTCTTCGTAAATGTTTTGTCAAGACTTCTTCGTAAATGTTTTGTCATGATTTCATCGTAAATGTTTTGTCAAGACTTCTTCGTAAATGTTTTGTCAAGACTTCTTCGTAATGAGTGTAAAGGACCCAAAAATAATGTTTAGGTGAAGAGGTGAGATCTCACCTCTTTTCTCACCTGTTTTCTCACCTCATGAATTTTCATGAATTTTCCCGAAATAAAAAATAAAGTTAGTTTTATTTTTATTTATTTTTTTATTTTGTATGTAAGAACAGAAATGTCAACAATCGGCACAACAACAATACAAACAACAGCACCAAACTCGTTAGTTATGAATCCAACATCTATGTTAGTAGAAATGAAAAGCTTCATTCCTTCTTCATATACTTTCGAAACAGAAATCCAGAAGATAAAGCAAGAACTTTTAACAAGTAATTTAGACTGTAGTGCGAAAGATGAAACAAATGAAGAATATCTTTATGAAATGCAGGACATTATTGACCATTTGCCTAAACTACCTGAAATCCAACAACAAAAACTAACTATTCCTGAATTCGACGAAATTGAAGTCAAAGCAACTGACTCAGTAGAAATAAAGAAGTTCATACGTAAGGTAAACTATGAATTCCTTGGTTTTCATTGCAACCATAAGGTTATGGACAAAGATTGCGACATGGTATATAAGAATGTTTCTGACATATATAAATCGGTTGAGTTTAAAACATACGACAACTTTGTTTCATTAGCTGCAAAATGTGTATGGCAGATAAGAGATAAAGATAGAAGAGGTAAGGTATGGAATGAACAGATAAAACCAGCAGCTTTTGAGTTAAAGAAAACCATTGACGCCTTAGTTGTTTTAGCAGGTAAGGTTTCAGAATATAACGCAAAGTTGAACCCACAATGTTCTAAATGTAAAGCAGCAATGAGGAAATATAACTACTCCGTCAAAGAGATAGAAAGAATGAGAAACGACTATGCAGACTTAAAGAAAGAAGCAGAAAAACCAGCAGAAGATAAAATGGACATGTTAGCATTTCTGAACAAAAACTATCCAACTGCTGACGATTTCCTTCTATCTGACGTCAAGAAGAAGTATAAAGAAACTTTCGGCATTGTTAAAACATTCGATGTACTGACAGAAGAAATAGAAGCTACGAAATTGTTTAGGATTTCAAATATACATCGTACAATTCATGTAAAACGCTTATAAAATAACAGGTGAGAAAACGGGTGAGAAAACAGGTGAGATCTCACCTCTTCACCTAAATTATATTTTTGCTGAATTCAGCAACAAAATTCTGAGTAAAATGGCATAAGATTGCTTCCCTCGGTTTTCCGAGGGAAGAGATTCCGTATGAAAATCATGAAATTTCTCTAGACCGATAAAATCCGGTCTAGCCTAAAACTCATGAAAATCGTGAAGAACAGCGAGTAGGGAAAAAACCGGCCTTGCCTAAAACTCATGAAAATCGCAAGAATTTGCCAATAAATTTAAGAGGTTGGTATGTACATAGACTTCTTGTAAATGCTGTTGCAATGTGGGCTTCACCTCGTTATGCTTGGTATATTTACAGACTTCTTGACGAAATTCATAGACAAGAACGTGAAGAGATGGAAAACAAGCTTGAAGCAAAAGACAAAAGCATTCAGAAAAGAATACCACGTTCGGTACCAAAAGGAAAGGAAAAGAACTATAAGTATATGATTTATACTGAAGAGATGGAAAATGAAGAAGATAAAGATATGGTTATGTTGCATTTAGTCAGAAGAAACAACAAAAGCTTTTACGACCTTGCTAAGATTTACAAATCTGACAGAAATTGGTTCTATCGCGAAAACTTACCGATTTCAATGACACCGAATGAAGATGTGAAACAAATAGTTCAAGATACGTTACCTCAAACACACTATGATATGAAAGGTTGTACAATTCTTACCTTCAAAGAAGATTTGCCATTGTTAAAGGAAAAAATAACAGAGTATTTTGACAACTTCAAACAAGTAGGGTAGATGAACTCTTTATTTTTATTGACTTTTTACAATTTGAACTTTGTTTGCGTAGATATGAATTCTGAAAGAAGTATGAGGGTCTTGTATGACTTTGTACTTTTCCCAGAGTTCATGTCTGTCAAACTTACCTGCCATGGACTCTTTCATAAGTTCCATGAAATCGTCTTCGGACAATCCGGGGAAAAGTATTATGTCAGTAAGTATTCTTTTAACATCCTTACTTAAACTCTTGGCTGTCTGTACACATATTACGACTGAGATGTTAAAGTGTCTGAGCTTCTTAAGAATTCGACACATATCTTGTTCTCTATTCTTTAACAAAGGATGAGAGGCGAAATCATCTAAGATAAGAAGACACCTATGAGGGTAAGTCTTCCAATCGTAAGATTGCAATTTCTTCGAAATGTATTCTATCTCTTTCTGTTTGTTTCTGAAGTGTTTCTTCTCTAATATTCTCTGCATTTCCTCATTTGGGTCTTTGAACTTAGAATTTATATACTCATTTATAGCATTATACTTCAAAACTCTTCTTTGGTACTTCTTTATCCAATCTAACAACTCAGTATCCTTTATACATACTAACTTAGACTTCTTTATAATATCTTTGAACGAATTGACGGTTTGGTCAAATTGACCAGAAGTACTACAAATAACAACTAACTCATAGAATGGGTTCTTCTCATCTAGTTCTTGTTGTTGTGCAGCCATTTTAAGATAAGTGAAAGTCTTACCCGACCCAGGTGGTGCAATTAGACCTGTTATACCATTCTGAGCAAATAAGAACTTGTCATGTATAGGCTTTATCTGAGAATTTTCTAACTTCCTCTTGTTCTTGTTTAAAACATTCTCAAATTTCTTGTCAATGTCAGCAAACTTTTTTTCTAACATATTTTTAGAAAAATTAAAATTTTTATCTTTTAGAAAATGTCTAGCGATTTCGCTATCTATATTCGAGACAAACTTTTTGACAGCAAAACATCTGTCGACCATAAAATCTTACATAGTGTAAACAAGAAAGGTGAATTTGTTCTAAAGTTCTGTTTCTGGGAATATGACAAGAACCATAAAACATTAAGCAGAGCAGTCTTAAAATTTGTCAATGACAGACTTGTTGACAGAGATGACGCCTCTTGGAGAGATGAAGTCCAACAAAACTTCTTAGAATGCAAAGAAGACACATGCGCTGTTCTTGAAGATGAAATAAAAAACAGAATAGATGAGCTATTAAAGGACAAAGAACTTTTACATAAATATGGTTGCGCCAAATTTGACATAACTCCACCAGAAAAGAAGAAGAGAGAAAAGAAAGAAAAGAAAGTAGAAGAAGAGAAGAAAGAACCTGAACCAATTCCAGAGAAGGGGAGATATGACATGTAAAAATAAAATTTTATTTTTAGAACATTTCTGGGTCAATGTCAATGTTCTCTTCCTCTTTAGGGGCAAACACTGGCTTAGACTCTAAAATCTTTTTACCCAATTTACCTTGAACTTCAACTATCTTAGACTCATAATATTCATAGTCGTCTGCTTTCTTTGGTTCATAAGGTATAACAAGTTTGTATGCTTTGCCTTCTTTAAGGTTTGAGAACCTTCTGTCAAAACTTTCTTTGACTGCTAACAAACCTTCTATGTCTAAGTCTTCAAATTTCGCACCATTTTTAGTCACAATAGCAAACTTAACTGGTTCGATGTTCCAAACTTTGCTGAATGAAGACTTTTCAAAATGGTAGAAGTAAACATTCAAATATGTGAATGGGTCTAGTTCTTCTTTAAGTCCTGACATGTACTTGTTTACTGAAATATATTTCGTCATCTTTTCTATCGGATAAAAAAAATTTTTTTTAAATTTACTCAGAAAAATTTTTCTTTGTATATACACCATTCTGTACGTCTAAAAGACTTTTGACATTTGCCAAGAATGTTCGTTTAGACGCTGTCATATAACCATATTCTTGACAATATTGTTTATACGAATCGTACAATGACCTTTCATCTAATGACACAAAGTCAGTTTCATCTATGAACAGTTCATATACACTCTTGTTTGCTTCTAACAATGTTTGTCTCTCTTCGGTATGTGGAATTTGTCTTGGATTGAACTTAGAAATATCTAATGTCATGAAATATGAGAACAAGTGGTTGTAAAAGTCAGATGTCAAAGTTTCTGCTAAGTCGTCAAAATATTCTGTATCTTGCATATGAGAATCTGACGTTCTGACAACTACATATCTTCTGTCAGAACTTTCTAACTTCATCGGAACAACATTGTTTGAAACCATAATGAAGTTTGCAACATTTTCACAACTCTTTGTCTTTATATTTTCTTTCAACAACTCCAACTTTATCTGTTATAAGACTCTTCAAAGCATCTGAGTTCAAAACTTTTGTTGTATCTATACTTTGAAGTTCATTGCAAACTATAAGTTTCATATTCTCAATTGAAGAGTTAAATTTACCGCAGATGTTTTCTAAGTTTGTCATATTAGGGTTCGAATAACCTTCTAACAGTTTGCACAAAATATCTGTAAAGAATGTGTTCTTACCTGTTCCTTGTTTTCCAATTATAATGAGAGCAGTTTCATTTTTAGCACTTGGATGTTGTAAGATGTTTGCAAACCAACATAAGATATACTCATAAACCTTTTTCGTTTCCATTGCATATAATTTCTTTGACATGGTCTAACCAAGCTTCTATAATATTTTCTTTCCATTCTACTTGTTCGTATTTATATCCAGTGAAGATAGAATAGAAGTTTGGAGAAGGTGTATAAAACTTTATACCACGAACTGAAAAATCTTCAAGTTTTGACAATAAGATATCCCAAGCATCTAACATCTTCATGCCAACTTGTACGACTTTTATTTTCTTAAGTTTCTGTCTACATTCTTGTTCAGACACTATTGTTGCTCTTGGTTTGTTAAAGACAACATCCCATTCTTTCATAACATAACATTCTGGGGCAGAGTCGACATAAATGACTAAACGTTTCAAATTCTCGACTGCTTTGTTATAGTCTCTAAATGGACACATATTTCTGAATGCTTGGAAGTCATAAAAATCTGAAACATCTATTCTGTACATTTTTATAAAAATAAAAAAAATATTATTTTTTTATTCTTGACTTTGTTGTTCCATTTGTTGCATTTGTTGTTCTTGAGCTTTTGTGTTGAAGTTGTTCTTGTAATACAATACTTTCACCAGTTGCATCTTCCAATTCGAAACTTTCTGCCGTCATTGACAAATACATAGGACATAAAAGTTTTACAGGAACAAAGTTTGCGTCAACTAATGTCAACGTTATACTTGCCAAAGTGTTTGAGTTCACTAAGGTTGAAAATTCTGCATTCGAATGAACAATAGGCAAACCAGCAGAGAAAGTATTGTTTATACGCATAAGTATCTTTTGGTCATAATAGTTTCTGTCGACATTCGAATAACACTTTGAACCTAAGTTTGAAACAATATATAAGATTGGTGTGCTTAATGTCAATGGAATAGACATTCCTTGTATGACACCTTTTCCTGTTATAGGAAACTGTTGGTAGTAAAAACCAGAAATAAGTTTTGTATTATAGCTCATATCGTTTATAGTAAACTCAGTCGGACATCCAAACATAATGAAACCTGCTCTAGTTGCAGCACATGTTACACTCGTACGTAAAGTATTAAATAAGTCAACAAAACCTGCTGGTGGTATATCTGAGTAAGTATCTTCAAAGGAGTATTTTTTACCATTCACAACAATAAAGTCTTCTGGTGTCAAAAGAGCAAAACAGGCTTTAGTCGTCATTGTGTTTAAGGTTAGTTTACAATATCGTCCTTGAGGACTTTGTAAGTTTGTTGTTATAGAATTATATGACTCAGGGTTTTTAGTCGTAATAGTATAAACCATTATGTCTTCTGCCATTTATATATATTTAAAAGTTTTTCTGAAAGTGGAGAAGAACTTCATCTAAACTTTCACATGGCGTTTCTTGAAGTTCTCTGTCTAAGAAGTTCAAATATTTTGTAAAGACATAGAACTTTCCTTTGTCTACACGAACAAACAAAACAGGGTCTTTCATATCGTTCAAAAGTGTGTAAAGTCCTTTACATGAAATAAAGTCTATTATTATTTTTCTTCAAACATCTTTCAAGAAGTTTTGACATTTTTACTTAGCAAATAAATTTTAATGAAATGTTTGGTCGTCAAATATTTTTATAACGTCTGGGAAACTATATTTTAAGTTCAACGTTTTCACCTCCTTTCATAACGTATATCTTGTCAATGGCATTATATGAAACACCACAGCAACTAATGTCGGGTTCTATTTCTTTGATGTTTATATCGTCTGCCTCTGTCAAAAGTTTCAATAGTTCTTTCAAAAACTTCATGAGGTGCAATGACATATGAGTTCACTTTTACAGGGTTGTGTTCGACCAAGTTTAACATTATACTTAAAGCTTGACAAATCTTCTCCTGAGTTTGAAGTTTGTCTTTCAGTTGTTGGTAGTCGTTTCGAATATCTGCAACAGAACTTAAGTCTCTGCTAACTTCAGGATATGTTGGTTCTTTTACAGGAACAATTGTTATACCATCTTCGTCTTCGTATGGTTTCCCCATTTCAACATCTCTGTTTTGACATTGACAATAACACTTTGACTGTTTGTTTGAGTTGGTGAATTTAACTTCACATCTGCCACCGCCATTAAACCTTTTGAAACACTTACGCTTCTATTTTTCGGAAATGACATTTTACTTAGAATAAAAAGATGGACGTATTCGGATATCTCTTCGAATTGAAGCAGAACAAAGTTTATACTCACAAACAATACAAATACATTGACAGAATAGTTCTTTACACAAACAATGGAAAATGTTATAGAATAGCAGTCTTTGCTGAACCTAAATATTTTCATAAAGCAAAGAAAGTTGGTATAACCGAGATGGTGAAAGTTCTTGACGTTGACAAAAATATAACTTCAAAACTGACCGATATTTCTAAAGGAAAGTTTATAATACAATATTATGTCAAAACTGGCGTACTGTCAATATTTGACGGAGAGAAGTCAGTTCAAGAACAACTTACTGACCTGCTGCCAAAATCTGCTCGATGGAAGCTGTCGTTATGCCAATCTGAGGAGCCCCAGCAGGTTTCATCGAACGAATCTTCAAAAGAGCATCTTCCGTGAAAAGTGCTATTGGTTTTGTAAAACTTCTTTGCTCTCAATTCATCTGGACCGTCTCTGTCACCAGTATATTGTATTTGAACTGTAACCAACAGTTTGAAATACCACCCATAAAGTCTTCTGAGTCAGCAAATGGAATGCCAAGCCAAAAAGTTTGAACGGTCTCCATTTGTATATTGAGTTTTTTGACTTCCTGTATGAGTCCATACTTTCACATATGGCATAATAGAACTTTGCATTTCAGGGTTAATGGTTGTTGTGAAGTTGTTGTTAAAGTTCATAGCATCTAATGTCAAGTTGTATGACCTCATATCCTCAACTGTAGAATATTCTTCTCTTGGATAATATTTGCCATCTATGTTTATATGATATTTAATACCAGGGTTGTAGAAACAAGAATAGTCATTTATAGTTCGTCTGAACAGTACAAACAGAGTATCTGCATGTTTCATTGCAGTTGTTAAAGCAATATCTGTTCTTGCACCTGGGTCAGCACTTTGGTTTCCAACTTCACCTGCAAAGTCTTTGACAGATATTTGGTGTATAGGGAACATAAGTGGAACTGCAATATATTTGGCAGCTAAAGCATTTGAAATATCTGGGTCCAACATATAGACTGCAAGTCTGCTTTCTATTCTCTTGCATTCAAATTTTTCGCATGTGAACTTAACTGGGTCCCAAGCAGTTCCAGCAGCATTGAAATAATAGTTTACTTCAGTGTTGAAGTTTGAGAAACAAAGTCTAAGTCAACTTTGTCTTTGCAATATTCGGCGAATGACGTTTGATTTGTTCCCTTTACGTCTGTAAGAGTGAATGGGTCTTGTGTTGGTGCAATGACTAAGTTATTTTGCTTGGAGTAAGTTCAATAGAAATTTTTCCTGCCCAGTTTGGCAAGTATCTTAAAAACCTGAAGATGAGGAAAGATGACAAAGGAACTCTAAGTTTCAGTTTTACTTTGGTTACTGCTGCTGCAGTTTGTCCAGAAAGGTCAACATAAACTCCTGGAACGTTAGGGTCAAGTCTTCTTATTTTCTCAATAGTTGCATACTGGTCTGTTTGTTCTCTAGCTTGTGGTTGTACTGAGTTTCTCAAAGCAAACCATTCATAGTTTGCCCATGTTACTGTTTGAACTAAGTCAGAGTTAGAATATATCTTATATCCCATGAAAACTTCTGGAGCATATTGGTATCCGACATAGAAAATTCCATTGCAACCTTTCTTGTCAGACAACTTGGCAGAAGGTTTTATTTCAATGTCTTGTTCCACGTATAAGAATGAGTTGTCAATAGAAATAATATGAAACCTGTCGCAAGCAATATCTACTGTTGTTGAAGAACCTTCTCCAAACTCACCTACGTTTCCATAAGAAACAGCAGTTGTATATTCGTAAGTTCCAGGAACTATTTCTGACCTTCTAATGGCATTGTCGCATTCGTTATACCATTCGGAAACATTTCCGTTCATGGCATCCAAAACTGTTGGCGTTATATTCTGAGCGGCGTACATTTCATATGGGTAAAAATATAGAATAGTTGGATTTATATATCATAATAGAACCCACTCGTACCAAGCTTTACTTTCTTCCTGACTGAGTTTTGTTGCATCTTTGCCTCATGTTCACCTAGTATGTTGTAAATTTCCCATGTCCTTTTTGCCTTTGGGCTCTGGTCGCCCATCTCAGGTAACCTATATCCTAGAAAGATTTTGTCATAGTTTGTATTTGAGTCTTCGCGTATTGTTTGCATGACTCTTTCCTGAGTTTCCGGTTCAAGCTCTTCAAACAGAGCCTGTCCATATGGAATAAGCTCGTTTCCAAATATATGTTTTTGTAGCCATTCTGGTTTTCTTTCCATGTTACCAATAATATCTTTTGTGAATGGGAAAGCTTTTACCCACTGTTTCAGTCTTGCGTCATTTATTTCTGTAGTTTCCAAAGGAGGGACATGTTCGTTTCCTTCAGGCTCTTCTAGCTGTTGTTGCTGAACTATTTCTTCCATGTCTGGTTGTATCTGAACTTCTTCCTGTTGAGTTTCTTGTACCTCATCTGGTGGTATATATGTTCCACCAGCTGGCACATATGTTCCATCTGCAGCATAATGTCCTACCTGCCCTTTCGTTCTTAAGAAAGCATTTACTAGGTCTGTTTTGGTCTTTTGTAACTCTTTTTCTTGACTTTCCACAACAGTTGCTCTAACGGCGTCATAGGCACTTTGAACTGCCTGTCTCGTTGCTGCATCTGTTATTTTCGTCATATTTTGTGCTACTTCTCTTAACTCTTTGTCGAAACCTTCAGACTTCAGTTTCTTTCCAGATGAGAAGTCGTTCACTAGTTTCACCTTACTATGAAGAGCTTCGAAGGCATTCTTAAAGTCAGCATTCATTAAAGCTTCATTTGAACTGTCTTCATCCGCTTGTATTTTTGTCCTTATTGACCCTATAAGTTGGGCTGCTTTAGCGTTGGCTTGGGCATCTAACCAGTCATTATTAGCTTTTATATATTCTGCGCTTTTCATTGCCTTTTGCACGGCTGCGTCGTTATTTTTACTTTCTTGTGCTAAGTTTTCATACTGTACGGTTTGGTTTTGCAACTGTAAAAGTTTTTCTGCCTTTACATTTGCTTCAACTTCTTTTTTATACTCATCGCTATCCATATATGTCTTCAGGGCTTTTTGTTTTATTTCTTCATCTTTCAGTACTTTATATTGAGTAGTATGGTTTTTCAAATTTATAACATCTTGTTCCATTTTTGCTACTTCTGCTGCTTTTTCTGACACTTTTTTCGCATATTCCTCTGTACTTAGTTCTTTCAGTTGTTCTTCTTTCTTCTTTTTCTCTACGTTTAACTCATTGAGTTTCTTTGTCTGTCTGTCATATTCTAGTTTCTTTTCGTTTTCACTTATTTGTTTCTGTATGTCTATGTTTGACTTTTTGACATCTGTTATTTGATTTTTGAGTGAACTCAAATTCATTTGACTTTGAGGGTTATAAGCTGTTCCGTCTGCAGCTCCACCATAGCCTGCCATTTTCGCTAAAAGTGCCGCTCTTAAACCTCCGCTCTGTGCACCAATAACTCGGTTTAAAAGCATAGGGTTGCTTGACATTTGTTGCAACATAGTGGGGTCATTCATCATTTGTTGTTGCAACTGTTGTTGTGGTGTCAGTTTTACTATTGGATGTTTCAATGCTCTCTTCCTCTTACGTATATTCTTACGTAGCTTACGTGGCATTTTAAGTGAAGTTAAAAAGCGGTTTTTGACAGATGTTTATATGACACTTTCTCCAGTTTATAGGACCTCTCTCATATTCTATCTTGTCATATATAAACTCATAGTCATGTATGTCCTCTAACCATCTCATAACGGTTTCCAAACCACTTTTATCGGATGTAAAGTAAAAGCATGGATGGTTATGTATAACGTCTAAAGTTTCTAAAGAGTCTCTCAAAGTCCAGTCTACTTGGTATTGAAAATCCCATGTGTTATAGAACGGCGGGTCCACTATAAAGAAAACATTTTCCTTGTCTTTATATTTTTCATACAACTCTGTCCAATGACATCTCACAAACTCTATACCCTCAATATATTTTTCTATGTCCTCTTTGAAAACATTTGTATAGTTAAGATATAAAACTTTTGACATAAGTGTTTCAATGTCATGAACTCTTATAGAACCACTATATAATAGTCTAGCAGATATACTATCCCAGTCTATATATTCTGCTTTTTTCAAAACCTCTCTCACAATATTTTTCTTATCTAATGGTATACGTTCCATCTTACCTATAGGTATCTTTTCTTTTAACTCTTTCAATATATTGTTTGTGTCTGGAATATGTTTGAGACGGTCCATATAGTTGTCGAAGTCATTGCATATAATCTTTGAGTCTGGGAATATTATATGACATAAATGGGATATATAGAAACTTCCACCGAACAAATCTACAAATGTTAGACCATTCGGTAGTTTCTTAAGTTCTCTCAATATAATATCTTTACATCTACTCTTATTTCCAAAGAACGGTAACGGCGGTTTTGTAAAATTCATTTATATATAATAATAAAAATGTTTTTACCTGAAAAGTGACAGAAAAGTGACAAAACATGTACGATGAAGAAGTCTTGACAAAGCATATACGTTCATGTTTGACAAAGCATATACGAAGAAATCATGAAAATAACTGAGGTGAGAAAAGAGGTGAAAAAACAGGTGAGATCTCACCACTTCACCTAAAATATATTTTTGGTCCTTTACACTCATTACGAAGAAGTCTTGACAAAACATGTACGATGAAGAAGTCTTGACAAAGCATATACGATGAAGAAGTCTTGAAAATTCAAGAGGTTAGAAAAGAGGTTAGAAAAGAGGTTAGATCTAACCTTCTACCCTAAACATTATTTTTTGGTCCTTTACACTCATTACGAAGAAGTCTTGACAAAACATGTACGATGAAGAAGTCTTGACAAAGCATATACGATGAAGAAGTCTTGACAAAACATTTACGATGAAGAAGTCTTGACAAAACATGTACGATGAAGAAGTTTCGACAAAACATTTACGATGAAGAAGTCTTGACAAAACATTTACGATGAAGAAGTCTTGACAAAACATTTACGATGAAATCATGAAAATTCATGAGGTGAGAAAACAGGTGAGAAAACAGGTGAGATCTCACCTCTTCACCTAAAATATATTTTTTGGTCCTTTACACTCATTACGAAGAAGTCTTGACAAAACATGAAAACATATATAATTTGTGAAAAGTGAAACAAAAAGTATCACCGGCTGGGGTTCGGTCCTCCTCTTGGGTCTTGGGAAAAATTTCTTATGGGCTAGAAGGGGCGCAGCCCCTGGAAGCCCTCCGAATATAACTTCATTTATACTAATCATCTTCAGGGCTAGAAGGCACGAAGTGCCTGGAAGCCCCACTACCTTTTTTTTTTTTTTTATTATTAGATGATCGTTTTTATGTAACAAAAGATAATTTTCAGATCGTTTTTAGTGACGCCAAAGCCCTTTCAAAATTTTAAAATTCGCTGGCGTCTCGACTTAACCGCTCAATGTTGAGAAGTTTACATCATGACGCCACGGTGACGCCAATTCCAACCATAACCCAGAAGATTCTATTTTTAGAATATTTTTGAGATACTTTCATAGAGAATATTTTCCTTATGACTACAATTGTATTCTAATTGATTTTGAAGTGTAAAATATGAATTAATTCTTTGCGCCTTCAGGGTGCCCTATAGACGATAGACCACTCTCAGAAAAGCACTTTTAAGGCTATTAAAATAAGTACCTAGAATCCGGATAATCCATACATTCGAGTTCTAATAAGGTTATTTTTGTGATGTTTACATTATCGTTATAGAGCACCTTTAAAAAATGCCAACAAAAATTTTTATAAAAAATACCAAAAAGTGACATAAAATGTTTTGATTGTCAATTTCAAGGGATTTAATCCCTTGATAAACATAATGACATTGTAACTTTAATTATACATTCTTTATACTTAAATAATATTATGCTCATATTAAAAGAAAACTATTCTTTGTGTACTAAACAGGGTTTTATACCTAATTATTTCAAATATTTTTATCAATTATATAAAAATGAAACACTTATTGAGACTATTCTTCGATTCTGGTCCAAGTATTGATACTTGGACACTTTTTTATGAGAATTCAGTTATCACCAAAAATCACACTGAAAATGAAATATTAAGTCCAACTGTATCAGGAAATTATTATGTTACAACATGTTTATTCAATGGAATTAATGATATTGTTGTCTATATAGACAAAGGTGATCAAACAAAACTTCTTATTTCTATTTCTGGATTCAATGGCACAAAAACTCCATCTTTTACAGTTTATTCTGAAAAAGGAAGTTGTGTTATCTATCAAACATGTGCCACAAAATCTATACAAACACGTCATAGTGAAGGGGTATTTTTATGTTCATATATAGATCAATCAAATACAAACAACAAAAACATTTTTGAAGATTCAACAGTCTTTGATTGTGGATATTCAATAGATATAGGATATTCAATTAATCATTTAGAATACGGAAATCTTAGTTATTCACGAAATAACATAACAAATAACAAATGTTTTAGAGATGTTTCATTTGACATTTGGTCAAATCAGAAATACAACATCAGTCAATCATCTTTCATTGATAATAAAGCAAGTCGTGCATGTTTTTGGATTAAATTCAGTGGTACTCATCAATTTTATTTATGTAATATCATTAGAAACAATGTTAATACAAATATTTTTTTTTAGAAGCGGCAACAGTTACATTGGAATCTTGTTCAATCAAAAATAATAATTGTCGACAAACATTTTATATTCATTCATCGCCAAGTTTAGCTACAATCATTAATTGTGATTATGAATTACATTCAGCAAATAATGTAGTGGTACAAAATCCAATAAACAATTTTTACAACGAATTATCACATCTTTCTACAGGACTTTGTGAAGCAGCAATTAAAATTGAAAATAATTTGGAAAAAGAAAATGACATAAAAAAATTCAACCAAATGAAAAATTTTTGCATCTCCCAATATTTAATCCTCTACCAACATAATCATTTTCTTTTTATGTCTCATATTTTAACATTTTCATTTTTATCACTGACTTCATAAATAAACTGCTTTCCAAAATCTATATGAAAAGATTCCCTTCTAACCAAATATTTCCATTCCAGATATCTAAATATGTTACGTTCAAAAAGTTTATCTGAATGAGATTGTTCTTTATTGAAGTGAATTTTTTTTCCTCCCCAAATTATTTGAAATTGAAATGTTCATTCAGTGAAATTAATCAAAAAAATTCACATGTTAGCCATGTTTGATTTTAGCAATTCTTCCCTCATTTTAAGGGTGCACTTACTACTTATCGACTTGCTCTCATAATGTCAATATATCTTTTGTCTAATAATAAATATAATGTCAAAATATGGTTCATCATCTATATTAGGTACTATATATAGTGAATTATAATATCTTTTTCCCGACATATTAAATTTTGATCATAGCTATGTCTAGCTTAGTTCGAAATATCCTCTAGGTATAGTTTCAAGATCCGATCAAAAAAAAAGACAAAAGTGTTGTACTGCATGCAAATTTTCCGATAAAGAGACAAAATACAAAAAAGTGACAGAAAATTTTTTAAAAAATTCGTTTAATAATTCAAAAAATTGCCAAAAATTCAAATGAAGCGAATCGATGAGGAACAGTGAACGCGCACAACCGTTTCCAGGGAGTATGGATGCTACTCTCGTTCCAAATCGAATCGCTCCATTTGGATGAGGCTTAAAGTTGCTAAATTTGGTCTAATTGTGAAAGACCAAATTTGGCAAAGAAAGCAAAGGACAACGGCGAGATCAGACAGCAGAATAGGCCGCTGCTTTCTGCCGCCTTTGCTGCCCTTTGTTTTCAGGAGAAGCTTCGGCTGAATAACATAGTTATTCAGCCGAAAGTTCTCTTATAACAAGGTACTGCAGAGCGCTACAGGCCATATACTCCCAATATACCGCCTGCAACGCCCTGCAGTGCCTTGTTTTGTCGCTAAGTTTGGTTATCATTTCCCAATCAGACCAAACTTAGCGACGAAAGCGAAGGATAACAGCGACTTTGAACAGCAGGATAAGCACCTGCTGTCAGTCGCCGTTATCCTTCGCAGTTTACTCGAAAGCTGGGAAACTTTCTTTGAATAAGTTATCATTTGAAGAAAGTTTCCCAGCTTTCTAGTAGAAACTAAAGGCTGTGGGGCACTAATCATATGATCAGTGCCTCACAGCCTTTAGTTTCTTATATAAAATGAGAAAGCTTGCTCGCAATTGTTCCGCATTGCGAGCAAGTTTTCTCATTTCAACGGAGAAATTGCTCCTTATGAGGTATACAGTATGAATATATACCTCATGAGGAGCAATTCCTCCTAGATAGCTGGGAAACTTTCTTTGAATAAGTTATCATTTGAAGAAAGTTTCCCAGCTATCTGGTAGAAACTAAAGGCTGTGGGGCACTAATATATAATCAGTGCTCCACAGCCTTTGGTTTCTTAAAAAAAAGAGAAAACTTGCTCGCAATTGTTCTGCATTGTGAGCAAGTTTTCTCATTTCAACGAGGAATTTACTCCTTATGAGGTACATAATATGAATACGTACCTCATAAGGAGCAAATCCAATCAGATAGCTGAGAAACTTTCTTTGAATAAGTTATCATTTCAAGAAAGTTTCCCAGCTTTCTAGTAGAAACTAAAGGCTGTGGGGCACTAATCATATGATCAGTGCCTCACAGCCTTTAGTTTCTTATATAAAATGAGAAAGCTTGCTCGCAATTGTTCCGCATTGCGAGCAAGTTTTCTCATTTCAACGGAGAAATTGCTCCTTATGAGGTATACAGTGGGAAATTTTGCATATGGTAAAGTATTGAATTTTGGAGCTTTTTTATCTCTAACCTATTTGTATGCATCATATTTTTCTCGAAATGCCTGAATTGAAAATAAAAAAAAATCTAAACGTTCAATGGACTCTTTACCTGCATTTGCTCGTGTTCTGAAACAAAGACAAATGAAAACGGACCAGACCATTGATGAAAAGGATTCATATCGCGTTTCTAATAAGGATTATTCACAATATGATTCAGATTCGCAAATTTCTATTTTAGAAGATTCAGTTTCAAATATACCTGCAAAAAAACAGAAGAAAAATAAAAACATCGACATTGATATTGAAAGTTGTCTTCGATCAGTTAGCGAAATGGAATCTACTGACCAATTATACGAATTACAAAAGATGATTAAGAAATTAGAACAAGAAAATTCGACTCTACGAAAAGAAAATCGCCAGATAGTCGAATACAAACAACAAATTGAAATCGAACGCGAAGTTTCTACTCATTATTCAGATTCTCTTCACGAAACTCAAAATTTACTTGAAAGTGAACGTCAGATCAATGAAAATCTGAAAGAACGTGTTGCACAACTCGAACAAATACTTGCAGGAAAAGAATCTATGACAGAAGCAAAAACATCAATGGCAATGAAACTTCAAGAAGAATATGATCATGTTACAAAAGATTATCAGCGAATACTAGATCTCTACAACAAGATGGTTGTTCAATTAAGAGAAGCTCGAAACAGGATTAGTGAACTTGAGGCAGAATTAGACAATTCTAAGAACAACTCATTTGGGAAAGATAATATTTCGAAAAAGAATACATATGAACCATTCAACTACGAAGATTATATGCGACCTAAAACAAATACAAAATATTTTGATGATTTTAATGACTTTGGTAAACCATTTGAACAACAATCAGATATTCCTGCTATAAAACCTTATGTTCCACCTAATTCTTACGATCCACCACAAATTCCTGTTGAACAAAAACGAGATTTCAATGATAACTTTGTTGAACAACAAAAATCTCCTCCAAATCAAACACTTCAACCAAAGAAAGCTGCATTAGTTGACAATATACACTTTGGGGTGCCAGAACCTACTGATACTGATGACTTTGATGTCAGTGGAATGTCTAAATTTGAACTTGAGAACTTATTAAGTTCATTGCAAGCAGAGAAGATGGAGACAGAGCGTATTTTGGCATTGGCACCTAAACAAGGTATATCAAAGTCAAGAGTTTTACGAGAAAAAGAAGAATTAGCTGATAAAGCAGATTTATTAGAGAAAAAGATTGCGAAAGTAAAGCGCGAAATGCGCAAACTATAAGTAAAATTGTTTGTTATTTATCATTTATTCAAAATCATCCACAAATAAGAAAATATATTTTTTAATCCAAAAAAAAATGAATTTGAGTTTTAAAATATCTGAAAGTAAAATAGTATCATGTATTATTTTTGAAGAGTTTCATGATAAATAAACTTTATTTGTATATTAACAAAATTTAACTGAAAACAATGAGATCATCACAGGTCTTAGGAGTACTAGATGGAGTAAGATTACCATTAACTAATGCGCGTTGCTGCTTGAGATGATTCTCTTCCATTGCGGCTATTTCTTTTCTTTGTCTCTCAAGCAATGCCTGGTATTCAGGATCGTTTATTATTTCATCATCTGAGCTATCTAATAGATCAGGCTCTGATGTAACGTTATCAAATGAATCTACTTTTGGAATAGACATATTGGCACCATTCTGCGCCTTAATTATCTGTGTCTGTATTAAGTTTTTCACTTCTTCTCTTTCTGGATCTGATAATGAGCATTCTTTGGCTAATTCTGAAACAATTTCATCGATATTATCAGTTCTTGTATCAAAAGGGAAGTCTATTTTGAGATCTACGTTATCCCTGTGAATTGTAAGATGTATTGTGACAACACTAATAAGACTACTGCTTGTAGTCATTTATAAAGGGAAGTAATAAATAAATATTCAAACAAACTTTCTCAAAAATTGAATACCAAAAGGTTAGTTTCCGCATCAAAAATACGTAATTTTATTGTATTCAGACTGAATAATGAAATATTGTTTTTCGATTTTAAAATTTTTTTCATGTTCTGATTTGGCTTTCTTACCGCAAAGATCGGTAAAGAATCGATAAGTTAGTATATTGCGTGTTATGTGTATGTGATCAACTTTTAAGCTTAAACTTCTCTTAATTTTAGTTTTTTTATCGAGAAATCGAAACAATTTGATTAATATCGAAAGTAAATCCTCAATTCTCTGGAAAACAAAAGTATCATATTGATTAAATATGAATTCCAATATGAATTATATGAAACACTATTTGAATTACTTTAAATCAAATAGAATGAAGAATCATATCAAATTGAGTGTTACCGTATTTAGATTTTGAATTTTGTTAGCATTGAAAGCAATATGGAAGTTAGATGCTAAAGAAAAGATTGCATGAAATCCGAGTACATAAAATTGGGTTCAAAAAAACATATTAACACTTAGTGAGATGGATAACATCTGGCTTATAAGAAATCTCTTCTAGCCAAGGAAAATTTACTGATATTTTTGATTATCAAAGATGGAATTCAAACCCTTGACTTAATGAAGCTTCAAATTGAGTGATTTTTTCATTTAAAGCAATATACTAAGCATCTACTTTTTAAATGGAGTAAACTGAAAGCATAGTTTGCTATTGTCTAAATTCTATTGCTCAATTAGCCGAAATTTATCTAGCTTTTTTCCTTATTAGGATAAACTTACATAAACAATGATAATTGCAGCAATTGCAGCTAATAATTCAAATTGTTGATTTTCAATTCAATACGAACAGGATTAAATGAAAGCAATATACGAAAAACAATACTGTGTAATCGTCATAATTTATAATTTTTGATAGTTTATCAGGGCAATGAATGAATTTAAGTCACAAACAATGAGAAATGAAATATAGTTTTCATTTAAACGTAGATAAAACTGAAACATGGAGTAACTATAATAATACTTACAGTTTACAAGGACAATAAATCAATAACTCTTCATGCCAATATTAATTAACGATCAAAGGCATGTAGTTATTCTTATTGATCTTAAATAATAAACTACCGCAATATATAATATTAATTGATATATTGAAGGGAGAGGAGTTGCAGAGTATGAATTTCTCTGTGGTATAAGCTGTGGTACTTGTTGTGGAATGTATGTTTGGGGAACAACTTGCCCATAATCAGGTACAATATTTACCATGGTAATAGGACTTTGTTGAACCTGCTGGGTATGATGTTGAGGTCTTGAAGCTGTTCTCTCAATCATTCTTTGCAGGCGACAACAGTGAGTTCTGACGCATGCTGCTGTTCTGCCTGGAAAATGTGTTGAGATAAAAGCCCATTTGGTGCCATATTGTCTGTACAATGTAAGCAAAAGTTCTTCATCTTGTGGAGTCCACTCAGCAAGATTAGCTGTTGGAGAAAGGTAATGATTCCAACGATCTCTACATTGTCGAGATGATCGTCCTTTCAAATATTTTGCAACATTGGGCCATGAGCTTGTTCCAACTTGATCCACGATCTCTTTAAGCTTTTTATCTTCTTCGGGAGTAAACTTGACGTGGCTTGATTTTTCATGAGTCTTCTTGTGAGCTTTGTTATCTTCCATGTAAATTTATGAATCTGTAAATTATGTATAACTAATAAATGCATGATGAGCACATTTGCAGTTTTATACTGTATAAAAGAATAATTCTTATCTTTATCGAACAAAAGGTCATAATGAGGAACTTGCTGATTTTTACAACCAGCAAAAAAATACAAACGTGTGAGAACTAAAAATGCGATTCAAGTTTTCAGATGCAAATCAAAAATGTAAAAAGGAAGCAATTTCTTTTAAATACACATTACTCTTTACGAAAGATACATTAAAATGAAGACATCCTTGGCGAAATTTAGATTATGATAAACACAAATATTATTACAAGTCTTAATATACTCATTGGAGTAAATGTAAGTGATATTATCTTGCTGAAATATTGTATTAGAAAATGTTGCATCTCTGAAAATAAGTTTCCCTTGGTTGTATTTTCTAAAAGCTGTAATATTTGACAAAACTTCACAATTGCTGAAGCATGCAGTTTGAAATGACTTAACTGACTCTGGAACAACAAGGTACTTTAAGTACTTAAGATAGCAGAACCCACCATACAGTACTTGAGTTACTGTATTAGGAATGGTGTAAAAACTTTGGTTTTTGGAGGCAGGAAAATGAATCAAAAATGACATGTTTCTCGAGAAAAGGACTCCGTCTATTGAGCAGTAATTGTTGTTTTCTTCATCGACATCAATTTGCATTAAAGTTTGTAATGAATCAAAGGAGTTTGCTTTGTAAAGAGTGCCTATATTTTTTGGAAGATAAATGTATTGTATTTTCGTGCCATAAAACGGCTCATCTCCAAGCTCTAACATTGATTCTGGAAGAGTGATATTAATAAGATTTGAAAAACGAGAGAAGCAATACTTCGGAATAAATGTAAATCCTTTGTCAATTGTAATATTGTAATAATTTTCGGGGTTTGTAACTGAGCTAGGTATCTCAACTGTTGTACTTGAGTCGAATTCAATAAAAAGACTCTCTGTTATTTATGGAGAAATTTTAGTTCATAACTTTATATTTTAAGGTTAATACAAAATTTTTGCAAAGGTTTATGTTCTTACTTGATGAATAAATCTTTAAAACGAAAAATATCTTAGATTACAAATTGTCAGCTTTGATAATCCTTTCTATCATGAACTTATTTTTTTTTCAATACTAAGCAACAGTTTAAAAAAATCGAAATTCTCAGAAAAAATGAGCGGAAATATAAAATTTTACATTTTTATGAGTTTTTAAAAATACTCTGATATAAGTGGTTTATATATATGATGTCATTTTGCCAAATTTATATCTGAATTTTCTATCAAAAAATTCTATGCAATGTATCAAAAATTGAAATATCATTGAACTATGTCGGATCATTAAAAAATCATTATCAGTCTCCTTGGAATATGGATAATCCGTATTCTCAATAATACTTAAAAATACTGAATTTTTTCAAACTTTGTTGAAATTTCTTTTACGAAATGAGAATTCTAAGTAGAAAGCAGCATCTTTAATTCCAGCAGAAAATAAATAACTATAAATTTTGAAACTTCTTTATAAAAAAATTATATTTTACAATAGCAAGTAGAAATACAGTAATCGGATCTAAAAAATTATAAGAAATTTTCCTCAATTGATAGTTGTTGCGGTTCAAAATTAGAATCGAAAGACATTTGTGAGTTATCATATGTAAAATCAATTGAATCAAAAGCAATGCCGTGATGAATTTCACCAACTACTGTGGGTGGTGAGCGCTTAGCATGAGATACTGAAAGTATGTTCTTTGAATCCTTGCGCATCAGCACAATCCATCTATTTTTAATATTTACGTCTGTCCTGTTTTGGAAATAAGAGGAAATTTCAACCCACTTTGGTCCCAATTCATAATATTTCATCCTTAGAAGATTATCTTCATCTTCTGTCCAAGGGGTATTTCTCACTGATGGGCTGAGATAATGTTTCCAGCGTTCTCTGCATTGTCTAACGGATCTACCTGGAAGCTCTTTCGCAATGGCATTAAAGTTGTTGGCTGTGTATTTCTGAACTAATTGAATTAACTTTGCGTCTTCTTCTTTTGTGAATTGGGACCTAACTTTACTATGGACATTTTGGTTGAGGAAGTATGTCCTTAATAGCTCCTTTTCATGGTCTGAAAGTTTAGCCAAAAGGAGTTGTAGCTCGTCTTCCATAATAATGAACTTTAAATTTCAATTCCTCACAATCTGACCTGCTCGCTTCAGAAATATTGAATGTGTGTAAATTGATAAATAATAAAATTAATAAACAATAAATGATATTTAAAATTTTTTTGTGATTTCCGAAATTGAAATAAAATATTTTGTGATCTTATTTCACTATTTATGTTCTCATACAGCATATATGACATTTTTCAATTAAATAGTTTCAACCAAAAATTTCTGGCAAACAATTATAAAAATAGTTTTTGACAAAAAAATTAATTTTTGACAAAAAAAATTTTGATCAAATGTATCTGCATTTTTCACATCATAGTGCTGAATTTCTACATGCTTAATCATTACAATTCATTTAATGATTCATTTTGTGATTGTTGATAATGAATCTCAATTGTCAGTTCTAAATTTTTCATTCTATTTTTATTTGAATTCCATCAATAGATAATAATGTTAGGTTTTGATATTAGAGTGGATATCTATCTATTTAGAAATATTTCAATCTCTTTATCTTATCATTTTTGATAAAAAAGATCAAAATCTTTAAAATTAAGATATGAATTTTTAATAGTTTATCATATGAATATCAACTATAGACATAGATAAGTAATGATATTTGATTTTTCAAATCCTGGATATAGGAAATTTTTCCGATTCTGAATCATTATTATTTTAAATTTTATGTACCCTTCTGAATCTTGATTGCATCATGTTGTCAAATCCATATTATAAATGAATAAATATTAAATAGTGAATTTCAGATTAAATTTCAATCACTTCCAAACTACTTTTTTTTTCTATAATTAGAACAGAATAATATGCAAATTCTCTGAAAGTTTAGTATTTAAATTCAATTGATATCTAATTATAAAAAGCAAATTTTGACAAAAAAACGACGTTGTACAAAATTTTGAGAGACAGAACTTTTCTCCATCTAATTTTAAAAGTGCATATTCAAAATAATTGAATGACAATTTTTAATAAAAAAAACTTCCAAATAAGCAATACCCCTTTAAGGGTGCACACGAGAGGATCATGTAAACTTCAGAATTTAGAACCTTATTTTTAGGCATTATCTTGGCTACCTATTTAGGCTCGAAAAGCAAAAAATATCAAAAAATACAACTTGACTCCATTATGACCCTTTCATGGAGGTAGTTTTTCTCCGCTAGTATTTTCCCTTTGAATCTCTTTACAATTCGAAATCAAATTCAAAACTCAGTAGAAGAAAGGAAGAATCGACTTACTCCGGTTGTAATACGAATAAATACATATATTTAATTATTTTTATTTACATAATAATTGTTTGAAGCTCATATTCCAACAAATTTTTAAATAAAAACATTAAAATGTTGAAAATGTTCATATATTTTAATAGGGTTTTGGCACTTTATTGAGGAATTACTACATACATAGTCGAACTGAACTTGATATTTTGAAATTTAAATTATTTATCAAAATTAAAATTTAACTTGAAATTCTGTCCTGAAATTTATTAGAAACAATCTAAGTTTGATAGTGTTACAAATAATGAAACATGTGTGCACTATAAATTCGGGCAAAATTAAATTAAAAAAATATTAAATATCTTTTCAAAATTTCAAAAATTTAACAAGTGAATTCAATATCCTCTAGACAAAGTTTATGTCTACTATTATTTTGGGTATGAGTGATTATCAATATCAAAAATTAATCAAGAATTAATCATTTCAAAAAATATCTAAAAAATTAGAATAAATAATTATATTAGTGAAAAGGTATTTTCTCTTCATATTGTTAACAATCCAATATTCGATTTATTTTTGTAAAACATTGAAAATCATTATCAAAATTTCTAAATCATCAATTTAAGCCTATTAAATTCTCCTTTTTTATAATGAAATAGATGTTGCATGATTACTTGATTAAGTCTGATTCTTGTGCAAGGGAAATTATAGTTTTATTATAACATCATTGCAATTTCATCAAAAAAAAAGTAAAATCTTGTAAATGGGCTTTTGGATTTAAACATTCTTTCTCCAGCTCCTCGAAATTCATAGAATTGATCCGTAATATGAAAATTGATCTGAATTATCCTTATTTTTTGAATACAACGGGCGTGAATAATCGTTTAGATATCAAATGGAAATAATGTAAAAAATTCATAACCCTTAGAGTATCAAGCTATTAACGATATTTTAAAAAAAAAAAAAAAAAAAAAAAAAAAAAAAAAGGTAGTGGGGCTTCCAGGCACTTCGTGCCTTCTAGCCCTGAAGATGTTTAGTATAAATGAAGTCTTAGAGGACAAACATGACTATGAGTTTTGATATGACAAGATAGAATATGAGAGAGGTCCTATAAACCGGAGAAAGTGTTATATAAACATCTGTCATATTACTCAGAATATTATACAGAATTCAATAAAAATATATTTTAGGTGAAGAGGTGAGATTTCACCTGTTTTTTCACCTCATTTTTCACCTCTTGAATTTTCATGAATTTCATCGTAAAGACTTTGTCAAGATTTCATCGTAAAGACTTTGTCAAGATTTCATCGTAAAGACTTTGTCAAAACTTCATCGTAAAGACTTTGTCAAAACTTCATCGTAAAGACTTTGTCAAGATTTCTTCGTAAAGACTTTGTCAAGATTTCTTCGTAAAGACTTTGTCAAAACTTCATCGTAATGAGCGTAAATCAGACAAAAATATATTTTAGGGTAGAAGGGTATATCTACCCCGTTTTCTACCCTCTTTTCTACCCCATATGTACTTACTGAAAAAGTATGTGTTCCATCTGTCATTTTACTCAGAATTTTACACCAAAAATAATGTTTAGGTGAAGAGGTGAGATTTCACCTGTTTTTTCACCTAATTTTTCACCTCGTGAATTTTCATGAAATTTACACCAAAAATAATGTTTAGGTGAAGAGGTGAGATTTCACCTGTTTTTTCACCTCTTTTCTCACCTCTTGAATTTTCATGAAATTTACACCAAAAATAATGTTTAGGTGAAGAGGTGAGATTTCACCTGTTTTTTTCACCTAATTTTTCACCCTCTTGAATTTTCATGAAATTTACACCAAAATATACTACTAGGGTCATTTACGAAGAAATCTCAACAAAGTCTTTACGATGAAATCTTGACAAAGTCTTTACGAAGAAATCTCAACAAAGTCTTTACGAAGAAATCTCAACAAAACATAGACAAGAAAGTTCATGAGAAATTAGATGAAGAAGTCTTAACAAAGTCTTTACGAAGAAATTCATGAAAATTCAAGAGGTGAGAAATGAGGTGAAAAAAGAGGTGAAATCTCACCTCTTCACCTAAAATATATTTTTGGGTCATTTACGAAGAAATCTCAACAAAGTCTTTACGAAGAAATCTCAACAAAGTCTTTACGAAGAAGTCACAATAAAGTCTTTACGAAGAAGTCACAATAAACATCTGTCAAAAGCCTCTTTTTAACTTCACTTAAAATGCCACGTAAGCTACGTAAGAATATACGTAAGAGGAAGAGAGCATTGAAACATCCAATAGTAAAACTGACACCACAACAACAGTTGCAACAACAAATGCTGAATGACCCCACTATGTTGCAACAAATGTCAAGCAATCCTATGCTTTTAAACCGAGTTGTTGGTGCACAGAGTGGAGGTTTAAGAGCGGCACTTTTAGCGAAAATGGCAGGCTATGGTGGAGCTGCAGACGGAACAGCCTATAACCCTCAAAGTCAAATGAATTTGAGTTCACTCAAAAATCAAATAACAGATGTCAAAAAGTCAAACATAGACATACAGAAACAAATAAGTGAAAACGAAAAGAAACTAGAATATGACAGACACACAAAGAAACTCAATGAGTTAAACGTAGAGAAAAAGAAGAAAGAAGAACAACTGAAAGAACTAAGTACAGAGGAATATGCGAAAAAAGTGTCAGAAAAAGCAGCAGAAGTAGCAAAAATGGAACAAGATGTCATAAATTTGAAAAACCATACTACTCAATATAAAGTACTGAAAGATGAAGAAATAAAACAAAAGCCCTGAGACATATATGGATAGCGATGAGTATAAAAAAGAAGTTGAAGCAAATGTAAAGGCAGAAAAACTTTTACAGTTGCAAAACCAAACCGTACAGTATGAAAACTTAGCACAAGAAAGTAAAAATAACGACGCAGCCATGCAAAAGGCAATGAAAAGCGCAGAATATATAAAAGCTAATAATGACTGGTTAGATGCCCAAGCCAACGCTAAAGCAGCCCAACTCATAGGGTCAATAAGGACAAAAATACAAGCGGATGAAGACAGTTCAAATGAAGCTTTAACAAATGCTGACTTTAAGAACGCTTTCGAAGCTCTTCATAGTAAGGTGAAACAAGTGAACGACTTCTCATCTGGAAAGAAACTGAAGTCTGAAGGTTTCGACAAAGAGTTAAAAGAAGTAGCACAAAATATGACGAAAATAACAGATGCAGCAACGAGACAGGCAGTTCAAAGTGCCTATGACGCCGTTAGAGCAACTGTTGTGAAAAGTCAAGAAAAAGAGTTACAACAGACCAAAACAGACCTAGTAAATGCTTTCTTAAAAACGAAAAGTCAGGTAGGACATTACGCTGCAGATGGAACATATGTGCCAGCTGGTGGAACTTATATACCACCAAACCCTCCAAGAGAAGCACCTGCACCAGGACTACCTAGAACATTTACATCGTCACATGGACACAGACACAGGCATGCACAACAACCAGCACAACAAACCACCTCCACAACCAGCACAACAACCAACACAACAACCAGCACAGCAACCAACAGTTCAAAACCCTGCACAACAACAACCACAAACAGAGCAAGGACATAAAAGAAGTAGAGAACAAGGAAACCAAGAATTCTTAAAAATGCTTAAAGAAGAGTGTGGTTTCCCAGATACTGTTGACTTTAGTGACAGATATAAAGAAGCTATTGGAAAGTTCAAGGATGGAAATACTGACCCGAACCTATTTAGCTTTATGGCTCAGCACCAA